GTGCACCATCACGGCCTGCCTTTCATGTTACAAACTTGCCCTCGTCCTTTCTTTCCGTTTTCTGTCACATTTTTGTCGTTTTTCTGATCCGTCCGTTCGCCGAGTGCGTCGATTCCGTGCCGCTCCTTGCAGCGAGGTTTCGGCTTACTCGATGGATCGGTCATTGATTTCATTAAATTTTTCTTCACTCTGGAAACCTTACAAACTATTTTAGGCCTCACAACCACAAAATAGGTTGTTATCACAAAGTATTCTGACCAAACTTGAGCTTTCCACACACCAAATGTTATGTGTAATTTTGTACAAGACATCACAGTTTTGTGTGCACATAAAATTTTCGTTCAATTTTCGTTTGAAAAACTGCACATTTTTCGCCATTTTTGTACAAAATTGTACAATATTTTGTGTAAATTTGTACGAAAAGTTCGTGTGCACAAAAAACTGTGATGTCTCGTACAAAATTTGTACAAAAACATTTAGTGTGCACAGCAAATAGTTCGTAATTTATGAACTTATTTTTTTGTCTAGCAATCTAAAGAGTTTGGGCCATGCTCAAAATACTTGGTGAGGTTTAAAGCGTGTTGTTACCAAGTTTTTTTAACTTGTCCGGTGGGTTTGCCGTTGTTTGGGCCGTTTTTTTTTTCAAATTGGCAGTGTGTAGTGTAGCTTTGGCACAGTTTTTATTTCATTTTGTTTCGGCCTTGGATGTTTAGTGCGCTGTGTTTCGTTCGGTTCGACCCATACGGTCGTCTGAGCTGAATGCATTTAAGTACGCCGTGCTTTTTACAGTGCACAGCAACATCATTTTCTTTTTATTGAAAAACAAATCTAAAACTGAAACCTAAACAACTGCAAAGTCATCCGTTTCCTAAAAATGCCCGGTTCTGACGTAGATGGTTTTCATCCCTTTTCGTTTTCTTAATCACCTTTTAAACGAGCATGATGAAAGCCACCCTCTTAACAGTCGTGATAATACTATAAAGTCCGCCTAGTACGTAGCTGGTCGTGAAAAGAAAAACCTTAAATAACCTATAATATCTCTTGGATCTTTGTGTATGCTAGTTAACTGAGAAAGGGCCCACTCACAGGTGCGGTCCCAGGTGTCCCTGAGAGGAAGGAGTCATGCAGCTGGCAATGGGGACTCCCGACCAGTGCTTGTGAGTCCCGAAAGCTTGTAGTCAGGGCTGTGCTGCGTTCCCGTACCTCTAGAGCTGCCTTGTCTTGCGTTGCGTGTCCTGTCCTCAGAACTAACACCCCCTCTGCTGATGACGTAAATTAAATCCTGACAGTAAAGGGTAGTTTTCGTTTAGCATTGTCTCGCCCTGAGCAATTATCTCTCCCCACTGCGGAGCCGCCCTTGTGTTTCTAGTTTCCTTGTGTTTCGTTTTGGTTGAGTTTGCTGTGTGTTTTGTTCTGAATTAGATTGATCTGTCTGTTGAACCCCGAGAGTGCCTCTGCATCCCTAAACAGCATGGCGACGAGCCTTCGTTTGTGTGAGACGCCTTGTTACACTGTTAAGCTACACTGTTGAAAAAACTTCTGGGAAATTATTCAAAATTGCCTCAGTTCTTCAAATTCCAAAACCTCCAATGTGTGTTCTTGTATAAGTTTCTGGCACAAAGATGCAGAATGATGCTGAACAAAAACAAACACTCTTTCAAAAAGTCAAATTGGAGTCTTTGGAAATTTTTAAACAAGCTTCGGATCGCATTTCCGGATTTTCAATTATTTTTTTAAACAGTGAAGTTGAAACGTCAGCTGGCCGTTTGGTTTGACGACTGTGTGCCATCATTTGTAGCGTTAATGCGTTCCTGCTCTTTCTTTTCGCTGAGTTCCCTTCCCCTCTGCATGGCGACCGCATTGCATGTGCACGTCTGAGAGTGATCGTTTGATTTGTGGTTTCTGTACATGGAGTGTGTGTGTCTGCCGCAACCTGATATTTTTGAGTGACGGCTTTGACGAGAGCGTCGCCGAAGTGCTAATAATTCAATCGCTACAGTAGTCCTGTCAGGGGTCAACAACTGGCTACGTTTTGTTTGGTTTGACAAACTTTTCATTCAATTAACATTCATTAACATTCACATTAACATTCATGGATGGTTGTAGGACATCATTAACGGAATGAGGCTGTTGTCAATTTGGTAATGTAAAGGGAGGTACTGGAGACTGATGAAACAGTCTTTAATCTTGAGACCTTGACATAAAGCTTAACTTAAAGCTAGCTTTGTCGACCCCTCAGGAACTAATATGATGTACAAGGTTTTCGTAATTTGTGTAACAGTCAAAAGTTTTTCCATTGCGTTACCTTGTGTAAATTTTGACAAGATAAGCGCATTCGAAATTTGACGCAGCTTATCACGTGTGTGCACAAACTCGTGTGACCAACTTCTGTACGCTAGAAATGCGTATAGGAGTGTGAATGCCGCGCCGAGGTCGGCCGAGGTTATTCGATTGGTTGCGAGTTTGGTTGCGTCCCTGGGCGCCAGAGTCGGTGCAGAGTGGGCCAGAAGACCGGTGAGGGCGGTCAAAACTCTAGACGCGTTTTGAGCTCTAGAGTCGCTAAACAGGGCTCGAATTGAACGTGTGACCCCACCAATGGATTCCTCGTTCTGAGAGCAATCCATTGGTGGGGTCATACGCCCGATTCGAGCCCTGTTTAGTGACCCTGGAGCTCAAAACGCGTCTAGAGTTTTGGCCGCCGGCACCTTTCTTCCGGCCCACTGTGTGGTGGCGCCTCCTCCTCGTGCGCTGCTTGTGGCTTCGAGTTGGTGTGCTTTCCATGTGCGGCGGAGCAGGCTGGTGAACCGGCGCGTGGAGCAGCGGCAGGAGCACAGCGTGACGCGCACCGAGATAACACAGAGGTACATCGCATCGCCCTTCCAGCTGCATGGCCGCATCACTATGTCGCTCGCTTCTTAGGCTGATGCGTTTGACGCGTTTTGTTTTTGTTTTCGTTGAGTTGTTGTCTCACTTCTGAAATTTTATGTTTGCTTTTGAATTGACTTGGAAGTTTTAGACCAACCACTGCGACATCAAACCTTTTTATTACGACTTTCTTCGCATTTCTTCTTCTTGGCACTTTTTGCCCTTCTTGGAATTTTTTTCCCTTCTCAGCATTTTCCCCCCTTCTTAGCAGTTTTTCCCTCTGAGCAATTCATTTTTCTTCCTAGTATTTTTTTTCTTGTAGTGAAGCCACACGATTGGGCTCGTGCTTTGCATGGCCGTCATGTCCTCGGTCATGGCGCCTCGGCTTGGGGTGGCGTTGCGTCGCGCTGCGTCGCGCTGCCTTAGTAGGGCTTCGTCCTCCAGCGACCGTCTCCAGCCCTCTTCATTTCCTGTCCCCCTCCCTCTCCCTCGCTCCCTCCCCGTCACGCATGGGGTGGTCCTTCTCTAATTGTTGGCATTGGCAATCCGTTGGCGCGTCTTCGAGTGCCCCTCCGTGACTCTGTCTTCAACGTGTTCTTGCTGGAGAGGTTTCCCAACCAGCCAAACTCATCCCGCGATTCAATTATTTATATTGGTCTTTTTCAGTACCCGCTCGTCTTTATTTTAAAAACAAATTTAAAAAATAGTGATTTTAGATAGATTTTAGATTTTTGCTGTGCTCTTCACGGCTTTTATTTCATTTTTCTTGTGCAGGCCACCGCAAAATTTGAAAAATAAAAACGGAAATTGCTATGGTATACTTGGATTCTCTTCCAAGCCCTCGTTGTCTCTACTGGCGTAGTCGTATCGACTGCCTGCGGTGTCGGCATGGCGGCCCGGCGACAGAAGGACTCACGCACCCATCGTGTGTGCCGAACTTGGCGGCGCATCGACACGCAAACGCTGGAATGACCTGCCAAAAAAAAAACCCACGAGAAAAGTGGTTTTCTTTGACAAGTTTCTTGCCAAAAACAGCTCGACATGGGCAATAAAGGAGCATCATCGCCAGGCTGCTGCACCACTGTACTAAAGCGCCTGGACGCCACGCACTCGCGCATCGCATCGCTCTCGGCGACGCCCACCGGAAGCTGGTGTAGCGGCGTGGCCGAACTGGGCTCCCCCCCCCTCTCTTTTTCCGTTCTGCTGAATCGAACGGCGGGCCGGAAGGTGAAAACAGTTTCATCCGCGACTGACCCCATCTGCCCCCTCCCCTTTCCTCCCCTCCCGTCCCCCTCCCCCTTTCACCGATCTGACCCTACCCATGTATAGCATTCGGTCCGAATCTTAAAACACGCGGGGTCGAGCGAAGGGGCCCGAACAAATTGCCTGGCGTACGCATTGATGTGTGGCCGGCCCTGTGTTCTGCTCTAGTTCGTGTCCCTGCCGGCCCTATGCCGGCCCTGCTAGCAGTGTCGGCGCTCCGTTTATGCCCGTTTTCCGGGCCGTAAATCCGCGGCTCGATGCATCCGCCCCGCGGTGCGGTTCGCGGTGGCCGTGTCCCCCCCCCCCACCTTTCCTCATTTTTTCCACCCCTCCGCCGGACGAATGAATGGTGCACTTCTTACTTCTTACTCGGGTCGGCACGCATGATAGTACCATAAAAATAATGTTTTAGTCTCTGATTTTTTAAAAAATAATCATGTTTTTATCACTGTTTTTTTAGTTTAGTTTTTTAGTTTGCTGCTGTTTGATTCTTTTGTTTGTTTTGTTTCGTTTTCTTGAAAGCTTAGCCCTATTCTGCGTTTGAATATTTTTTGCGTGCTACGTATTATGTTTTGCTATTTAAACGCAACCTTTCTTTTCTTGTTTCTTTCTCTTTTTTTTTGATAAGTCGAAGGGTAGTAAATGTTGCTGAATTAACTTACAAACCACTGAGCAAATGTATGTGTGTAAAAAGTTTTTTTTTTCGCTCTTGATTTTTTTTGTGTGCGTGTGTAGCAAGGGGGTGTTCTGATGGCGTGCCGGGTCACATTTCGGCGAGTGGTGGCACTGCTGCGCGGCCCATCGAGGGGGCGTGGCGGGGCGCGGCGTGGCGTGGCGCGGCCTGACTGACGACGTTTTTGTGTGTGTTGCAGGAGAGTGCTACAGGAGGCCGGTCTTGATATGCCGCAGTACTCCGCGTAAGTAGGGTCGTTACACCTTAATTTATGCCCTTATTATGCGGCCGTCTTTATTTGAGCGGTGCTGCGATTTGTGTGAATGCCCAATCGTGGTTGGTTTGCGTGTGTTAGTGTTTGTGTGTTTGCGTTTGTGTGTGTGTGTGTGTCGCGCTCAGCCGTTTTGCCTCGGCCGTTGTTTGACACTAATTGGAAATGGTTTTCCCCTTTTAACACGCCCTTCCCGATACAGTAATGCATTTCGGCGCGGGGGGTTGCGCGCCTCGGCCCTGTGGGGAGGCCTCCCCATTTCTACCCCCCCCCTCCCTCTCTTCTCTCCCTCCTCCAGTAACTTTTTTTGCCTCTCCCCGCCGCGCCACTCTGGTTTTGGTTCCTACCTAGCCGCCTGACGCCGGTGATGTCCGTACGAGCGAGTATTGCTCCTCACCGCGTGATCCGCGTGTCGTCGCCGACGTTTTGCCCCCCTCCTTCCCCCTCCCCCCCCCCCTCCCTATTTTCCCCTCGCCTCCCGCCTTCCCCCCTCCCTCTTTCTCCTGCCGTTTTCTAATTAAGCTTCGCGCCATTCTGATTAATAAACGTGTCGAGGTGTCTGTCGACGCCGTGGTCCACGCCATGTCGGATCGGCGGCGTGTCGCCGTGTATGTATGTATGTGTGTGTGTGTGTGTGTGTGTGTGTGTACGCCTGCAGGTGACACTGACGGGCTGACGGCGCCGAGGCTTCGCGTTGCCGCCGTCTTTTCCGCCTTTTTGCCGTGCCGATGGCGGCCGATGGCTCCGATCGATGTCTTATTTGGCTTTAACTCCCTTTTTGGCGCTGGCCGCGCGTCGTGTTTGACCGAGGGGAAGGGGGGGGGGGGAGCGTCGGCCGCAAGACTTTGCAAAGTTGTTGAGCAGAAGGCGCGCCAGCCCTTGGCAAGGACGTGACCAGAACACCAACCCCCCACCCTCAATCTGTTGTCTCGTGGTTCGCGCCCCACCCCACCCCACCCACCCCGCCACTCCACCAGCTTTTCCCCCTCCCCTCCAATGCGATTGGCGATCACAATTTGCCTTGGTGGCAAGTTGTATTGCTTTTGGTTTGTTTCGGGGTGTGGGAGGGGTGGGTCCGGCCTCCGAGGTCGTGTGTGTGTGTGTGTGCGTGGGCGCGCGCGTGTGTGTATGTGTGTGTGAGTGTGAGCGCGTGTGTGTGCGCGGGTGCAACTACTTCATGCTGATGTGCTTCAGCCCGACTCGCGGGTCTGTGAAATTGTTTGGTTGTTGCGTCTCGCTGGTTATCTAACTTGCACGAGCGGGTCACCTGCCTTCTCCCCCCTCCCCACTGACGCTCGCAACCTCCCTGGCGTTGTTTCGGTTCGTCTCAAAACAAAAGAAAAGGGAGCGAAATCAAATATTCATCCACGACTGTAAGAAATGTCGCGGACCTCGTACGAAATTGACAAACGTCTCCCTGATGGTGGAAAATTACCTTGTGTTTATTTAACTCCTAGAATCTACCCAATCGCTCTTGATTTTACGTAATGTTTAACTCCCTAGAATAAATGTGGATCTCCTTGGAAATTACCTTATGTTTTACTCCTAGAATTAATGAGTATCCCTTAAGAACTTACCCGATATTAAAATCTAAAACTAATAAGTTTCTTCTTGGAGATTACTTAATGTTTAGCTCCTAGAAGTAATAAGTAGAGTATCTCCTTGGAAATTACCTAATGATTAACTCCTAGAGTATAAGTATCGCCTAAGAAATTACCCAATGTTTAACCTTAAAACTTACAAGTATCGCCTTGGCAATTATCTAATTTTTTAGCTCCTAGAATTAATGAGTATGTCCTCTGAAATTACCTAGTGTTTGTTTAACCTTAAAACTAATGCTTAACGCCTTGAAAATTACCTAATGTTTAACTCATAGTATCAAGTATCGCCTATCACCTCATGTTTAACCCAAAAATTAATGAGTATCGACTTGGAAAATTACCGAGTAATCAACCCCAAAAGAAGCACCCCTGTACAGTGTCCGCACAGCGTCCCACCCTTTGACCGCGGCTCTGTTTTTGATGTTGCAGCGGCCAGTCCGAGTTCCAGTCCGAGTTCCACCCCGAGTTCACGGTGCTTCCCCCCACCAACGGGCATGTGACGGGCCCCGACGGGTCGCTCCCAATGTCCGTGCCTTCGGACGCCACGCTCGTGTCGCGCACGCAGAAACAGCAGACGACGCAGCAAGTAAGTTTTACGTGTTGTCTTTGTTTCTTTGCTGTCCCCCTTTCTTTCGCTCTCATTGCGTTGGCGTCTTTGGCGCGGTTGTTAGCTCGAGTGTTTTTGTTGTTGTTGTTGTTTGTCGTTTAGATGACCTGCCTTGTTGGTTATTTCTCTCCCCCTCTTGTTTCCCGCGCCACCCCCGTCGGCCCCTCGCGTTCTTCGGTTTGCAGTTTCCTTGCATCCTCTTCTCTTTTTTTTTTTTTGCTACGTCTCTATTTTCTTTCTCTCTCTTCATTTCCCCTCCTTCCGCCCCCCCTTTTTTTTTCTCCCTTCCATCTCATTTCCCGCGCCTCCCTCCTGTCCCTCGCGTTCTTCGGTTTGCAGTTTCCTTGCATCTTTTTTTTAAAGAGAGGAGTCTTTTGTTCTTGCTTTCCCCTCCTTGCTTGTTTTTTCTTCCCGATTCGCAGCCTCATTCTCCAGTGGTTTTCCCGCTCCTGTCATTGGGCTTGTGGCGTTCTGTATCTTGTGTGAAACGATTTCGAAAAAGAGAGGGAGAGAGAGGCGGTTTGATTTTGCTGGCGGTCTTGTTGTTGTTGTTGGCTTGTCGTTGCGCCGAGTCAGCGAGCTGCAGCAGCACTGTTAGTTGGCGCTCGCAGAAATTTCGAGCGGCTTGTGGCTGGAGGGTCCGGAACGCGCCGAGCGCCGCAGAAGGAGGTGGAGAGGAGACGGGAAAGGGGCGCCTTGTTGCGGCCTTGTCGTTGCAGGGGGGCCCCGGGCCCGCGACCCCTGTTTGGGGGGGTATTTGGGGTAGCGAGTTGTCCGAGAAGGGTTGCTCTGTGGGGTTGTTAGAGGGGCCGGGAAGGCGGTCCGGGGACCACGAGGGCGGTTTCGGAAGGCCGGGCCCGGGATGGCCCTGGAGGCCCTAGGAAGGCCCTAGTACCGGGCGTTCGGGCTGAGCTCGGGGAGCTCGGGGCTGAAGCCGGGCAAGCTCGGGGGACCGCTCTGGACTGAGGCTGGGTGAAGGGGGCCTGGGGAGCTGGCTGGCCTGGAGGCTAGAGCCTGAAGCCGGCTGGCGGGCTGAAGCTCGGGGCTGAAGCTCGGGGCTGAAGGCTGGGCTGGGCTCGGGGCTGAAGTCGGGCTGAGCTCGGGCCTGAGGCCCGGGAGGTGCGTCCTTCTGTCTCGGCTTCAGTTCTGATCCCAGAGGTCGTGGTCGTTCGCTCGCCGCCCTCGCACCTGTATGCCACGCCCCGTGATTGCGAGAGAGACAGAGCGACGAAAGCGACTCTCGAAATCAGCCTGCAGCCCCTGCAGCTTGCGAGACACGGCCGTGGGAAGAGCCGCAACCGGCGCCACAAGATTTGTTGATTCTTTCTCGCTCCCTGCTCCGCCCCGCCGGATTTCTTTCCTCTCTCTCTTTTTCACTCACTTTGATTCATTTTTAACGGCTGGGCTCCCTTTTTACGGATCGCGGTTTCGTTTCGTTCGCTGCCAGGGTTGGCGGGCTCCTTCAAGTGCGCGTCGTGGTACGTGCGCCTCCGTTGTTGTTGGTTTTGTTAATGTTGGTGCTGGCTGCTGCTGTTGTTTGAGGGAGCTGCGGGTGCCGTCCGTCGGGGCGGCTCCGCCGCACTGTGGGACAGAAGACAGGCGCAGGCGGCCTAAACTCTAGACGCGTCTTGAGCTGCAGAGTCGCTAAACGGAACTCGAACTGAACGTGTGACCCCACCAATGGACTACTCGTTCGGAGAGCAATCAATTGGTGGGGTCACACGTTCGGTGAGTCCCATTTAGCAACTCGGGAGCTAAAAACGCGTTCGGGATTTCGACCGCCTCCACCAGTCCTCTGCTCCACTGTGCGCCGTGCCCCTGCTGGGCCAAGCCGACAACTGTATTATTTATCTTTGTTGAAAAATGGCTAAAGAGCTGCGCGACAAAGAAATGACGAAAACAAACATTAATTTTGACGGCGTGTTGTGTCGAACCTTGAAACGCGTCAAGCAGCCCGGATCGTTGCCCCGGCGTGACAGCGCACCCTCACCTCCCCGCGCCTTCAAGCACACCCCTCCCCTCCCACCTACGGCCACCTCGCGGGGAGGGGAGGGGGAGGGGGCACAACTTGTGCGCTCGTGAGGAAGGCAGCAGCAGGGAGGGGATTTCGTCTCGCAGTTTGGCCCGCGTGTTGGGCCGGGCCGCCGGGTGGATCTCTCTCTCCCCCTCTCTCCCCCTCTCTCCCCCTCTCTCCCCCTCTCTCCCCCTCTCTCCCCCTCTCTCCCCCTCTCTCCCCCTCTCCCCCCTCTCCCCCCTCTCCCCCCTCCCCCTCCCTCTCCCTCCCCTCCCTCCTCTCCCTCCCTCTCCCTCCCTCTCCTCCTCTCCCTCTCTCTCTCCCCCTCTCTCCCCCTCTCCCCCCCTCTCCCCCCCCTCTCCCCCCCTCTCCCCCCCTCCCCCCTCTCCCCCCCTCTCTCTCCCTCCCCCTCTCTCTCCTTCTCTCCCTCTTTTACCACCTACCCCCGTTTTCCACGAGCTCTTACATTGTTATCAGGTTGCGGTTTCTCGTAGCCCAGGGCTGGCCAGCAGACTGATTCCAAGAGTCGTTTTCGCCGCCCTGCCTCTCTCGCACTCATGGGGCGTCCCGTTTAGGTGCGAGAGAGACAGAGCGATGGAAACGCCTCTCAGTCTGCTGGGCTGCCCATGCCCGGGGCGCCGGCTACTGATGGCCCCTGTCTCCTTCGATACTGGCGATATGACGGCGCCTTCAACATCGTCCTTCAATAGAATGACGGCAAAAATAAAACAGCCTTTCTCTGAGGGCTTAGCAGCAGGATGGGATAGAAAGGAGAAATGCTCCTTCTTTTTACGGTGGTGCACGCGCGGCCTGTCTTTGGCAAGTTGCTGCATGGAAGGGGAGGGTCTTGGCCGGTTTCGTGATGAGCTGGCCTTTCACTCCGGGCGGGGCGGGGCGCGGCGGGGTGAGGTGAGGCGGGGCCTGGGGGCTGTTTGGGTCTGTATCGGTGGAGCGAAACTGCTTCGGCCAGGTAGTTTGGGAACTGCTACCTGTGAGGCTGTGAGGGATGGGATGATCCCACCGCCATCCCCGGGAGGGAAGCCTGCCCGTCCTGGAGGACGGGGAGGCCGAGAGCTCATCTCTTAACTGGGTTGCCCGAGAGCAGCGCGGCAGTCGGCGCCTTACCGACGCCCCCCGTCTCACAGTGGGCCAGAAGACCGGTGGAGGCGGACAAAACTCTGGACGCGTTTTGAGCTCCAGAGTAGCGATATCGGACTCGAACCGAACGTGTGACCCCACCACTGGACTCCTCGTTCGGAGAGCAATCGGTGGGGTCACACGCTCGGATCGACTCCCACTGAGTGACTCTGGAGCTCAAAACGCGTCTGGGGTTTTGTCCGCCTCCACCGGTCTTCTGGCCCACTGTGCATCTCTCTCGCACTCCGCCGTCCGTACTGGGTGCGAGAGAGACAGCCAAACTGCGTGGGCGAGTGTCGATGCGGCTGACGGTGGCAGTGGAGTGCAGTGGCTGAAGCTCGTTGAATCTTCTCTGCTCTTTCTCCGCCTGCCTGCCTGCCAGTCCACCCGCCCACTGCCCGCCCGGCTCGACCAATCGGTAGAATAATTGATGCCGCCGTGGGCAGGCCTGCAGGCTGATTCTCTCTCTCTCTCTCTCTCTCTCTCTCTCTCTCTCTCTCTCTCTCTCTCTCTCTCTCTCTCTCTCTCTCTCTCTCTCTCTCTCTCTCTCTCTCTCTCTCTCTCTCTCGGGCTCGTGCGGAGCACCACGTGAGTGCGAGAGAGAGAGCGAGTCGTCCCGGGCGAGCGCCGTGCTCGGGCCGAGTAGGCAAGCCCGCCGAGCAGCCCTGCGTGCGGGACGGCGGAGGACTTCCCGCCAGGCGCCCCGCCCGCGCTGGCAGCAGACTGATTCCGAGAGTCGTTTTCGTCGCCTCTGTCTCTCTCTTTGCACTCATGGGGCGTCCCGTGAGGGCGCGAGGGAGACAGAGCGACGACAACGACTCTCGGAATCAGTCTGCCTGCGGGTGCGAGAGTCGTGCGAGCCAAACCTGTGGGGCTTCCCTTCGCCAAGCCGCTGTCCGCAGTCGCAGCGGAGCGAGTGGCGAACTAGGCGGAAACAGCGCTGGGAGGACCGAGAGGAGGACGCTCGATGTACTTTTCACAATTTTATTCGACTTTCCTTAAATTGATCAAACAGTTTAAGATTTTTCTGAACTTCTTTTGCGGCTTGTGGGTGGAGCAATTGTTCAGTGGCGCTCCCAGTGTGCTGGTCGCCGCGGCGGCCGCTGCACTGTACATGGCGCTGGCCTTTTGCGGCTGGAGGGCTGTACAGTATGCTGAGCGCTGCACACCGTCGACTGCACTGCACAGGTCGCAGACTGATTCCGTGAATCGTTCCGTCGCGCAGTCTCTCTCGCACCTGTGCGAGACGCCCCACGAGTGCGAGAGAGGCAGAGCGACGAGAACGACTCTCGGAATCAGTCTGCCGGGTCGCGTCGCTGCGCTGAGCCGCCGCCTGTGCTCTGCCTGCGCTTGACTCGCGGCGCCGCGCTGACGCGTGACTGTGACCCCGCGCCGTGCCGCGCCGTCGTGCCAATGAAATGTCACGTGTCAGACGGCGGGGCACGTACGGCCAACGCAATCAACAACAAGAACGTCAACAACAACGACAATCTGCGCCTCGTGGACCGCGCCGTGATGGACCTCGGTGTGTGGATAAGTGTGTGTGTGTTCGCTGGAGAAATGACGAGCAATCGGACGCTCCAGTGGGGGGTCTTGACCGTCTCGAGGGGCCGGGACCTCTTGGGTCCCCTAGGCCGTGCATGACGCCGTCTGGTGGCGCCTCCACGTGCAGACGTGCCGGGCCCGCTCGGCGATTTTGCGTCTCATTTCGCGGTCCTTGGAGAGAGTGTCCTGCTCCGACACGTGCTGCCGAATGTCTGAATGTCTGCCCGAGGCCGTCGTGCTGGTGGTCGAACCTTGATCATCATGGTGATGGTCATCGTCATGACGGTCGACATAGCGGATCATCATGGCGGTCGGCATGGTGGTCGACATGGTGATCGACATGGTGGTCGACATGGTGGTCGAATGGTGGTCGACATGGTGGTCGACATGGTGGTCGACATGGTGGTCGACATGGTGGCCGACATGGTGGCCGACATGGTGGCCGACATGGTGGTCGACATGGTGGTCGACATGGTGGTCGACATGGTGGTCGACATGGTGGTCGACATGGTGGTCGACATGGTGGTCGACATGGTGGTCGACATGGTGGTCGACATGGTGGTCGACATGGTGGTCGACATGGTGGTCGACATGGTGATCGACATGGTGATCGTCGTGCTGGCGATGGACGTTGTGGTGGTGGTCATGGTGACGGCGGGTCGGCTTCGCGGGCTTGGCGGGCTTGGCTGGCCGGCCGCCACGAAATGGCTCTAGATAGGATCGCCGCGGGCACGCGTGCCGGACCGGGCGGACTGCCGGCCGGGCGCCACCGCCGCCGCTCGGACTGGACTTACCAGGGCGGTAATGGTACTTTGGCCAAGTTGAATTGGCGCGGTGCCGCGCGGTGCCGCTGGCCGGGCTTCGTTTAGCCGCGATTTACAGTGCCGTGTCACGGAGTCCGACGGAGTCACGGCCGCGTGCCTCGCGCTTTGTTTTGCGTGCAGCGGTGTGGCAGCCTCGCTGACGGCGTCGTCATCGCCTGTGTGCGAGACAGAGACAGACTGCTGGCGCGAAGGCGCCCGGCCCGTGTGTCAGACAGAGACAGACTGTGCCGCCACAAAGGCGGGCCCGGCCCCAGGTATCGCCCGAGTACCCCTCGTTCATCAGTGCCTCTTTCTATCTTTTTCCGCTGTCTGTTTTTTCTTCTCTCTCTCTCTCTCTCTCTCTCTCTCTCTCTCTCTCTCTCTCTCTCTCTCTCTCTGTTTTTCATCTCCTTTTGCACGCCATTACCGCGGCGGTGGCCGCGACCCACCGGGCTCACCGGGCCCACCCCCTCGGTGCTCGTCGTGCTCCTTGTCGAGGGCACTGGCTGCCAAATTGCGACCGCCACCCCCACCCCCTCTCTCTCCCCTTATGAAGCCCATCCCTCTTCATTGCCGGCAAGGCCGATCCCCGGGAAGGAGAAGGAAAAGGGGAGGGAGGCGTCTTGGTGGTGGAAATCTCCATCGAGTCACCCACCAGCCTGGGCCGAGTACCCGGGCGGGGCACAGTGGCCCAGAAGACCGGCAGGGCGGCCAAAATTCTAGACGCGTTTTGAGCCCCAGAGTCGCCAAACAGGACTCGAACCGAGCGTGTGACCCCACCAATGGATTCCTCGTTCGGAGAGCAATCCATCGGTGGGGTCACACGCTCGGTTCGAGTCCCATTTAGTGGCTCTGGAGCTCAAAACGCTTCTAGACTTTTAGCCGCCTTCACCGGTGTTCTGGCCCACTGTGCGGGGTGCACCATGGTCAGCTTGTCGCCCTCCCACTATCGTGTTTAATTCATTGTTTTCATTTCCACCGCTTTCTAGTTTTGGTCTATGTGAGTGTCGCTGACGACGTGCCTCTTATTGTGCTGCAGGTGACGACGGTGACCAAGGTGGTGCGCGAGGTCCACGCCGTGGGCCCTGACGGCCAGCCCGTGGACTATGTGCCCATGCCGGCCGGCTACGCCTATCACATGGCAGGGCAGGAGCCCTATCCCCCCGGCGACGCGGGTACGTCTCTAGGCCATTCACCGACTCAATGAAGTGCTGTTTTTGCGAGGATACGAAAATACTTGTCGCCGGAGTTAATTATAAACGAGGATGAAAAGTACACACTGGGCTGTATTCGCTTGCCTCCTAGTGGCCCAGTGGCCAGTGGCGTCTCTGCAGTGTAGGGGCCGGACGCGTGCCGCAGCGGAGAGCACGGGGGGAAAAGTTGCTGGTTCAAACACTGGCCCGCCTAACTTTTCCGTCCTGTTTGTGTGTTGTGCGCGGCCGGCTCTGCGGCTGGGGTAGTTTAGCTTCACGTAGGCACTCGCCGTTGACTCTCTCTTATGTTTATACTCCTGGATCAGTTTTTTTTATCTTGTTGTTGTTTTTACTTAAACTTAAACTTGTTTTCATTTAATTTAATTTCCATTTTGTTTTCATGTTTTGACTCGCCAAACTACTGACCCGCGCGCGGCCCCTCCTCGACGCGGAGTGGTGGTGTGGCCACTTTTCTTTTTCGCCCCCTGCATAATTTCTTTTTTCTTTTTTTTTTCTTCTTCTTAGCGCGGCACTATGCCGGCGACCCGTACCGCCCTTCGTACGCGGCCTATGAGCATTACCCTGCGTACGGCAGCACCCAGTACGGCCAGGGCAGCCAGCTGGGCAGCCAGGGCAGCCAGGGCGGGCCCGGGTCGGGCACCGGGTCCTACCCGTCGTACCCGCCCACGGCCTATAGCGACGCGGGCAACTACGCGGAGCAGCCGCCCTACGGCGAGCCGCCCTACGGGGAACCCCCCTACGGGGACCGCCTCGGCGACCGGCCCCCCACTCCGCCCTCGCCGTCCGACCGCAGCGAGTCGCCCCCGCCCCAGCAGCACGGTGAGCACCCCAGTCCCCCTTGGTCCCCCGCACAGTGGGCCACAAGACCGGTGGAGGCGGCCAATACTCTAGACGCGTTTCGAGCTCCAGAGTCGCTAAATGAGACTCGAATCGAACGTGTGACCCCACCAATGGATTGCTCTCCGAACGAGCAATCCATTGGTGGGGTCACACGCTCGGCTCGAGACCCATTTAGCGACTCTGGAGGTCAAAACGTGTCCAGAGTCTTGGCTGCCTGCCGATCTTCTGGCCCACTGTGCCCCGCCCCCCGGTAAGGTCATATGGAAGATAGGTCTGCGCAACCGAGATGCATGCTGGACCGGGCAAGCCGGCAGGCAGGCTGGCAGGCAGGTAGGCGGTCCTCCGCTGCGGCCGGCGACGGATTCGGGAGGGATCAGCTGCCCGGTCTCCCAGCATGCATCTCGGTTGCGCAGACCTATCTTCCATATGACCTTACCCCCCGGGGGCTTGGTGTTGGTTGGCTTTCCACCCCAGGCCTGTGCGATTCGTCCATTCATCGACCGTAATGGTCGATTATTAAGAATTTAATTTTCAATTAATTTCGATAAGACTCGATTTGACTGTTGTGAATCGAGACGGGTTCACTTAATCGATTATCAATTTAATTTGACAATGAATTTCAAAGACCCGATTCGATGGTTCTCAATCGAGACGGGTGCAATCAATTAACAATCAATTTTTCTTAAATTTTTCCTTTATTTTCGCAAGGGAACAAACTAATAAATCGACTGACACCAATTCATTCGTGGACATTTGGATTATATCGATTCTTAAACATCGAAATGGTCAAAGTTTCGATTGGTGGTACTATCATTTTCACTGATCGCACAGGCCTCTTCTACCCCTGGACCTGTGAACGAACCCGGTTTGGTGCAAGCTTGTGCAACGCCCCGCAAAGCGACCCGGTTTGGCGTCCGCTTTGTTCACCCTGTCCCGGCTTTGAACCGTCTCGAACCTTGAGACCTTGAACCCCGGTTTGGTGTTGGCTTCCTAACCCTTTGAACCTCCTGGACCCGCGGTTTCGTGTTTGCCCCGCACGTTTCCCTCACGACCCGTGACACGGTTTTGACCCGGCTCCTGTGTTCCAGCATCTCACACGTGTCTCACGGCTCACGAAAAATGCCGAGTTCGGTTTGTTGTTTTTGTTTGGTTCGTTTTAGTTTTTATTTGTTTGGTAGCGCGAGGTGAGTCAGTGCAACGCGGTGAGTAGACTTGACTTGGGCGCACGTAGTAGCACTATAGTTTTAGGTCGTTTTAGGTACGTAGATAGATAGACGACTTTAGCATATCTTCGTGATTTCACTCTGACTCGCGCACTTTTCGTTCCACAGTGTAGCGCGCGCGTTTTCTGCAGTGTTCCGCAGCCGTCTGTGACTTTATTTCCTCCCAGACGAGTCTCCGGTTTGCGGATGTGCCTTCGAGCCTTTGGCATGTCATGATGGTTATTATCCGCAGTAGTTGTGTGCTACTACTGTGTGATCAGTTTTTTTTTTCTTTCTCTCTCTTTCCTTTCCATTGTTACTGCCGAGCCGGTCGTCGTCGTCAGACAGTCGTCAGCGTGACCCGCAGAGGAAGCTCAAATTATTGTTGTCGCTGCCGCCGCTTCCGGCTGGCCCAGTTGTGTCGTCTGCTCCGTCTGGAGTGTCCTCACTCGGCGGTACCGCGGGCCGGGCGGACAGACAGACAGACAGACAGACAGGCGGACCGTGCCGGCGACATGCCCGGCAGCATGAGCTCAGACGGGCTGTCGCCGAGGCCTTGTACAGTGGGCCAGAAGACCGGTGGAGGCGGCCAAAACTCTAGACGCGTTTTGAACTCCAGAGTCGCTAAATGGGTCTCGAACCGAACGTGTGACCCCACCAATGGATTGCCCTCCGAACGAGGAATCCATTGGTGGGGTCACACGTTCGGTTCGAGTCCTATTTAGCGACTCTGGAGCTCAAAACTCGACCGCCTGCGCCGATCTTCTGGCCTACTGTGCCTTGCAGCCTCATCCCGAACAGTGCTTTCGTTGCGCCGTCTCTCTCGCACTCGCGGGGCGTCCCGCGCGGGTGCGAGAGAGACAGAGCGACGCGGCTCTGTTCGGGATGAGGGCTGTCGCGGGGCATGCCTTAGGCCCCTCGAGCCGCGAGGGAAGTGCCGCCGTGCTGCTGCCGGCCGGATGTGTAAGAGAGAGAGAGAGAGAGAGAGAGAGAGAGAGAGAGAGAGAGAGAGAGAGACAAAAGCAGCACTCGATGGCCATTTGCATATGCAAGGAGGGGCAGGGCGCGGGCGGGCTGCTCCTCTCCCCCGGTCCCGTCATCCCGTCCCGATCCTCCACAGCAGGCTCCGCCTCTCTCGCACTCATGGGGCGTCCCGCACGGGTGCGAGGGAGACAGGGCGACGAAGACGACTCTCGGCATCAGTCGACAGCCGCGCGCACCTCGATCTCTAAAGCACCTTCTGTATACAGATCACCTCGGGATCCCCCCCTCCCTCCCTCCACGGCTCGCCACGCGCGCGCCCCGCTGCTGCCAACCTCACGGCGACAAATTATGCAATGAGGAAGTGCTTAGTTGATGCCGTGATTGAGCCCCCTTTGCTTCCCTCCCCCCCTTTCCCCCGCCACGCCCCGCTGGAGCAGCAACCTCACCGGAGTCGCCGAGCGGAAAGGAGAGGAGCGACCGTTTTCCGGTCGACTGGCTGCGTCCCGCGCCTCCGTCAAGTGTGTGTGTGTGTGTGTGTGCGTGTGTGTGTGTGCGTGCGTGTTTGTATGGGTAAGTGTGCGGAAAAAAGGAAGGGGTGTGTTTTCATTTGTCCGCTTTGAACGGAGTTCGACTATTAGATCGGAAGCGCTTCGGGTCGTTCTGTGGTTTCTCGTTGGGTGGCTTTGCCCCTGGCTTTGCTTGTTTGGGTCGGTTTGGAGGGTGAGCGGGCTGTGAGCGGGCGCGCGGTCCGGGGTGGAATCCCCTAAAAAAAACAATTAATATTTCACCGGGGAACGTCTCACCGCGTCGTGTGGGGGCTCTTAGGCCCAGGTGCAGGCCGGGGTTGGCGAACCCCGCGGGCCCCGCGCCCCGAGAGGGGAGACGGGGAGACGCTCTTAGTCCTGATACGACGCTCGTGCCGCCGCCTCGCTTCGAGTCTTCTCGGAGGAGAAGAGAAGAATTCCCGGGCGAACGAGTGTGGGCGCGAAGCGGCCGGGGGAAGGGGAGTGGAGGGTGTTTTAGGCGGGAATTTCGGGACGAGGGGAGCGCCTTGCCGTGCCTGCCGCCCTCTGCGCCGCGCCGAGTTGCTTGAATCGGGCGAATTCGTCCAATTTAGCGGCCCTCCAGAGGGAGGGGCTCGGAGAGAGAGAGAGAGAGACCGAGAGGGGGGGGGGTTGTAGTATGATGTTCGCGCTTCTTTGGCTCGCCTCTCCGCTTGCGCGCTGATTGGCGCCTCGCCCCTCTTCAGGGCGGTCTTGTAGCCAATCGTGCGTCGCGCGTTTTGGCGCCGCGGAGCCGCCAAAGGCGGTCGCCGTCGTCATCGTCGCCGGAAGACCGATGGCGGCGTTTGCAATCCCGGACGCGTTTTGAGCTCCAGAGTCGCTAAATGGGACTCGAACCGAACGTGTGACCCCACCAATGGATTGCTCTCGGAACGAGGAGTCCATAGGTGGGGTCACACGTTCGGTTTGAGGCCTGTTTAGCGACTCCGGAGCTCAAAACGCGTCTAGATTTTTGGCCGCTTCCGCCGGTCTTCTGGCCCACTGTACGCCGTCGTGGTGCTGTGGTAAAAGTGGAAGAACGTCGGCGCGCGAAAAATGTGAGTGTGTTTGCCGTCGCCGTGCGTCTAGGCCGGAAGGAAAAGGGGGGGGGGGCGGCTTGGGAAAGAGGAAGCCATGCGCTGTGGCACCGCACTGCAAGCACTGCTGCCGCGGCTTTACCCTTTGGGCCTTTCGAGTGTGGTGCAGCGAGTGCGGTCCGGCACACCCAGCGCTCTGTCTCTCTCGCACCGCTGCGGACCGCGCCGTGAGTGCGAGAGAGACAGAGCGACCGCTCGGCCCGTGGGACAGTCTGGGCCGCTGGGTTGGGCCACCGTCCCGGCCCCCTCGACCGGAACGGGCCGGGCGAGTGCATGCTATGCTGCGGCGGTGCGGCGGTGCCCGCCTTGCCTGCGGCGGCCGCGCTGCGGGCTGCGGGTTCGATTCCCACCGCAAGTGGGAATGAAGTGATTTTTTCCCCGTTCTCTTCCTGCGAACAACGGTCTCGGGCAGTCGGCTGCGGCGCGGCGGCCCTCACGGCACGGTAGGCAACCCGCCGGCCGCCGCTGCGGCGCCATGCGCGTGGCTGGGCCGTTGCCTACGTCGCAGGCGCTCCGAGCTAATTGGTCTTTTCCCCCGTTTCTTTGCCTCCATTTCCTTCTTTTCGTCTCTTCCTACCACAGCGCGTCCTTCTGACTGTTGCGTACTGTGCCGCGCCGCCCCGCCGTCGTGACGTCTAGTACTGTATTTTTAGCGCGCGCGCGTGGACCACGGGGGCACGGCCCGGCACGGCCGCTGTGCGGTTTGGGGCCGCGGGGCCGTGCCGTGCCGGCGTGCCGCAGTCGTCAGGCGTCGCGCCGCGGGCCGTCGCGTGCTCGGCCTGCCCTCCGCCGCCGTCGCCGCCGTCGTCCTGGTGGGCGTCTTCCCGGTGGCCGTCGCGGTGCTTGTGTCGGGGCGGTGATGTCGTCGGAGCCGGCCCTGCTGGACCCTGGATAGGACCTGGCCCTCGACCTGGCCGTCGTGCCCTCTCCCTCCCCTGCCATGCCCACGTCCAGCGTGTACATCCGCCTCAGCAACGGTGCGTGCTCGGGGAGCGTCAAGCCTGTACAGTGCGGCAGAAGACCGGTGACAGTGGTCAAAATCCTGAACGCGTTTTGAGCTCCAGAGTCGCCAAATGAGACTGGAACCGACCGTGACCCCCACCAATGGATTCCTCGTTCGGAGAACAGTCCATTGGTGGGGTCACACGTTCGGTTCGTGTCCCCAGTTAGCGACTCTGGAGCTCAAAACGTGTCGAGAGTTTTGGCCGCCACCGCTGGTCTTCTGGCGCACCGTGCCCTGGACGCCGTGAATGGCACAGCCGCCGGACCCAGCCAGGTCGCCGTCGTCGGCGTGCTTCCGGCGCGCATTGTCGGCGTCGCGGTGCGGCTCCCGGTGCTGGCGGTGCTGTCGGTGCTGGCGGCCTGCAAGTGGTTGAGGAGGACGCGCGCGCCGCTGCCGGTGGCGTAATGTGAAGGGCCGGATGGGGGGCCGGGGGCGGCGGGGGCGGCACAAAGCGCGGCCTTGTGTACGCTGTGCCGCGGCCATGGCGCGGCATTGCGGGGCCCGGGCCGTCTTTAGCTCCGACATGCATGGCCCGCGGCCCTCAGCGCCCTGAGCCTGAGGCGCCTGAGGCGGTGCCGTGGCGGTGCCGCTGGTGGACGGGGACAGATTAAGCCTGGGGTGCTGTTGCTGTTCCCGCGGCAGCGCCCTACACCCCCCCCCCCCCTCCCCCTCGGCCCTCTGGGCCCCCGGGGCGTGCAGGTCTGCTTTGCTTCGCGTTTCCCACCTGGTCGCCGTCCGTCTGGCCGGCCGGCCCGGGCTGTGGAACACTGGGTTGAGGTTGCCTTGCATTTGAGTGTGCTGGTGGTTTGATTTCTCCAGTGTGTGCTTCGAGTCCAAAAAGACCTGGGCTTGATGAGAGGGCTCTCCGCCTGTTGCAGACTATCTTCGGAAAGGCGCGCCGTTCCCCCAGTCCGGCTATGACGAGCTGGACACCACCCTGCTGCAGCCCCGGCAGGACCACTACCGGATCACGCCGTCGCCTGGCGCCGCCGGGGACCGCTACGGTCAGTCGCCAAGAATACACGGCTAAATTTTTCAATCAACACTAGCAGTTTTAATTTAAAGCCTTAGAATTTCTTTTGAAACCTAATTGTGGCATTTCTGTGCAGATCCAATGACCAACCCGTGGATTGACGACTCGGGAGAACCCTCCCAAATGCCGCACGGTCAGTATTCTCTCCAAACTGTGTGTTGTTTTGAGTCCGCTTTATGTATTTGTCTGTGTTGTGGATATCTGCAATGTGCATTGTCCGCTCGTCCGCTCTGCAAACTGAAGTGTGTACATAGTACACTCTTATTAGAGCATCGTTACCGCCCATTTTTCCTAACCCATTGTTCCTACGCTAAAATAGAGTTTACATAGCATGTACACGCTAAATAAGTGTGTGCCTTCCAAGTACACTTAAACTAGCCCATGCTTTTAGATAGGACTAATTTAGTGTATTTTAGCGTGTACTTGGAAGGTACACACTTATTTATCGTGTACTTGCCAGGCACACTCTAGTTTAGCGTGTACCTAGGAAGTATGCTGTAAATAAGAGTGTACTTGGAAGCATGCTCTTATAAGAGTGTACTATGTACACACTTCAGTTTGCAGAGCGTTCGTGTCGGTGCTGTCACGTGGACGTCGCTTAATTTGTGTTTTGAGTCGTGCTGATTATGCACCAAAGCAACTGCAAAGCTTGTTTTGTATTTGGTTGAACTGTTTTTGTCAATTGGAGCAGTGATTTGGAATGTTAAAATGGACTTCCAACATTTTAAGTAAAGGGTAATTCAAAATATTTTGTTTATCTTCTTCAAGCAGATTTTTTTTTTTCATTTCTTTCTACACTGGGTATTTTTAGTTGCTACATTGCGAAATTGTTGGATGCTACGCAATGCACTGCTAAAGCTTGAAGTTGAAACAGTAACTTGGAATGTTGGAATGAACTTCCAACATTATAAGTAACGAGTAATTCAAAATATCTTCTTTGTCTTCTTAAGGCAGATTTTTTTTTTTTTTCATTTCCTTCAACACTGAGTATTTTTAGTTTCTACATGGTATAATTGTCGGATGCTGTGCAATGCACTGCGGAAGCTTGATGTTTGTTTTTTTGCACTATATGTTTGACTTTATGCTTGGCGACCGCAGGAGAGGACCCCAAGTCCCTGTATGGCTATGCCCCGTCTCCCTACGGCTCGTCCTCCACCAACACCCACGCCGGCGCCCTCATGGCTTTGTACGGCTCGAATGGCCAGGATAGGTTTGAAGACGCCCCCGGGGAGGAGGAGTTGAGGCGACGGTTGTCCCTGCACAACACTCCTGCCCCAGACACTCCCTCCATCGATGATGACTCAAGGGGTTTGTGTTTCAGCCTGTTAGCTTGCCTTGGTGGTGGACCCCTCTGTTCCTGAATGCCTTTTGCACGTCTCACTTTCTACGCATCCAGTTCAACATTCCTCTATAAATTTTTTTTTCCATCCTTCCCCTTTTCCCTTTTTTCTCTCTTGTATTTTCAAGTGATACCATGTTTGTTGCAGCCCAATTAAGCTAGTTGCGTGGCTTTTTAACCTAATAAAATTAGCAATTTTCACCCCACCCACATCCCCCAAAACTAAAAAATTATATTTAAAAAGAAAAGGAAAAAAGACTGGTGAAAGCATGATCGAGGTGGGTGACAGTGTAGGCAGACATCGGTCCCCGTCCACGTCCGTTTGTGGCTGATTAGCACCTTGAGCACCCATGAGGCATTCCTCCCAGTCAGGCTTAGGCTTATTCAGTCCAATGGACTGAGTCCATCACTGTGGCTGCAGGGCTGTCTAAATTTGCGTTTGGTGTTGCCTGGATTTTCTGGGTCTGGTTTTATTGTATGACGTCCAAAAGATCTAAAAGGGTCAGCTTTGACCCAAACTTGAGTATGTTGCTTTGTCTTGCACGTTGTTTCTGACCTGTGTTGTTTGTTCTGCATACTTTCATGGTGCTAAATGGATGTTAAGATTTTAATTGTTTTATAGTTGTCTAACTGATTTTTTTAAACTTTCATCAGGTATGAGATGGCGAGACCCAAACCTGACTGAAGTCATTGGCTTCTTATCAAACCCCAACAATGTTATCAAGGCCAATGCAGCTGCTTACCTACAGCACTTGTGCTATATGGATGATCCAAACAAGCAAAAGACTCGAGCTCTAGGGGGCATCCCACCCCTCGTTAAGCTTTTAAGTAACGAAAGCCCAGATGTATATCGAAACGCTTGTGGTGCACTAAGGTAAGTTAATTGAAGAATAGAACTTGTGTTGACTGTGTGTATCCATTAGAAATGATCTTCTTTACTGACTCTGTTTTGATTTTCTAGAAACCTTTCATATGGCCGCCAAAATGATGAAAACAAGCGGGCCATTAAAGCAGCGGGTGGCATACCTGCTTTAATGGGTTTGTTGCGTAAATCACCTGATGCTGATGTCAAAGAGCTAGTTACGGGTGTTTTGTGGAACCTTTCATCTTGTGAGGTAAGTCCACCTCTCCAAGAGGTCTTTCATATTGGGCATTTATTCCAGTTCTGGAAACTAATTCTGCCGTCTCATCTTCCACTTGTCAGGACCTCAAGAGAGCAATTATCGATGATGGTCTGGCCATGGTGGTGACGCATATAATCATTCCACATTCCGGATGGGACCCCAATGCTCCTGGTGACACATGTTGGTCAACTGTATTCCGCAATGCGTCTGGTGTTTTAAGGTTTGCATTTTGTTTATTCAAGTTGTTTTCAGTACGTCCCTTCAAAATTCAAACGTTGTTTATTCATCTTTGCCAGGAATGTGAGCTCTGCTGGAGAGTATGCCAGGCGAAAGCTGCGGGAATGTGATAATTTGGTAGATGCACTCATATATGTTGTACGGACTTCTATTGATAAAGCTAACATGGGCAACAAGAGTGTTGAAAATTGTGTGTGCATACTTCGTAATTTATCATACCGGTGTCAAGAAGTTGAGGATCCCCAGTATGATAAACATCCACTCCCACAGCAGAGTCGCCTAGGAGCCCAACCAAAAGGTAAATATGTTTTAAATGTTACTTGCTAAATTTGAAAAAATGTGTCACCTCTACTGGCACCATTTTTGCCAAAGAAAAATTATAGATTAATTTAATGGTAATGACAAACTCAACAGTATAGGTACTTTGATCACAATGAAACACTCAGACTACATCACTTCACAAACCCTGGTTTTCGTTTTCTTTTCTTTTTTTTTTTTCTTCTTTCTGATGAGAAAATGCCAGTATCCTGTACAGTTGCTAGAATATCATATAATATTATTAAACTATAGGTGATCTTTTAGTTACTTTGTTGATACTGATTACTTATTACTTTTAATCTTCTTTTCATTTTTAAATCTGTGTTGTAGCTTACTCTCTATGCCAAGGTGAGATGCCTTCTCTTAAGTTCTGCTTGCCTTTATCTTTTTTGCCATACTTTCAGTTTTTTAGTTCAGCCTCTACATTGGCATCTTACTTTGCATAGGTTCATATCACTCATTTGCATCATTTCTGCCTGTGACACATCACATGACATGGTGGTACCCCACCAACAATATGTTCTTTGTCCCTTAGACTTTTAGCAGCAAGTTTTGAAAATGACATTTTTGCATAGTTTAGTGCTGGCTTCCCTGTCTGATAGTAGATGCAATGGATTCATGTATCATACAAACAATATCTTGTGGAAGAGAACACTTCTTTTATGAATTATCTCTGAAGTTACACTCACATAAGTTGCATTTAATATATTTGCTCCTCACTCTGGAGAACCCAAAGCAAAATATTTGCTAGATGTATCTAGATATATAATAGCTTTCAATTTCACTGTGCTGTTTTCAGGCATGCAATCTTAAACATAGGTAAAACTGTAATTCCAAGAAATATTTTTCAAAGTCTGTTTATTTAGAATGCATGCCATGTTCATTGACTGCAAGTGGCAAATGTTTCCAAGAATTATGGGCATCTTGACTGTACTGAACGCTAATTATTTCATATATATTTTATCTCACCTTACAAACCATTAACGTTTATTCCTTTTTATCAGGTGAAAATTTAGGTTGCTTTGGAGCCAGTAAGAAGAAAAAGGATGGTACAGGTGGATCAGGGGGACTTGCTGGAAATCAATCGGAATCTGCACACAGCAGTCGAAGTGCCTCCAGAAGTGCAGTTATCAGGGGGACAGAACTCCTCTGGCATCCAGAGGTAAGCAGGCTCTGTATTTCTTTTTATTATTTAGTATTTTTTTCTTTTTTTTTTACATTGAGACAATTATTTAAATGTCTGCTGTTGCAGGTTATTCAACATTACTTAGCCCTACTTCAGAGCTGCTCAAATCCTGAAACTCTAGAGGCAGCTGCAGGTGCTATCCAAAACTTAGCTGCTTGCTATTGGCAACCTAGTATTGAAATTCGGGCAGCTGTACGGAAAGAGAAAGGATTGCCTATTTTAGTGGAGCTTCTAAGAATGGAAGTTGACAGGGTTGTGTGTGCTGTTGCTACTGCCCTCCGAAACTTGGCCATTGACCAACGCAACAAAGAATTAATTGGTGGGTAAAATGTGCATGATCTGAATAACTGAGCTGCTTCAATTGAGCTTACACTCAATTTTCTTTGTTACTTCAGGCAAATATGCAATGAGAGACCTTGTTCAAAAGTTACCCTCGGGTAATCCTCAGCATGACCAAGGAACATCAGATGATACAATAGCAGCTGTTCTAGCCACATTAAATGAAGTTATCAAGAAAAATGCTGAATTCTCTAGGTAAGTTTCACTTTAGAAAATTAGTGAGTGATAATAAGTGCATTGCTATTGCTAACTTTTTTTTTTTTTTTTTAAATTTTGGTTACAATTTAGGTCATTGTTGGAAGCTGGTGGTGTTGAGAGGCTCATGAATATAACCCGTCAACGTCAAAAATATACTGCACGCGTACTTAAGTTTGCTGGGCAGGTCTTATTCACCATGTGGCAACACCAAGAACTTCGGGAAGTGTACAAGAAACATGGATGGAAAGAACAAGATTTTGTTACAAAAGTGAGATTTTGTTGCACTATTTATTCACTGCAAAATCTACTTTGATTATTATTGAACAAGAGCTTATTTGTCATTCTTGTTACAGACGGTGGCAGCTAGGAACGCAGCTGGTCCCAACTCGCCCAACAATGCAAATAGCACATTGAACCGACCAATGGCAAGTCAAGGTGGTACTCGATACGAAGATCGAACAATCCAACGTGGCAGTGGGCAGAACAATGCTGCTGGTGCTGCAGGTGGTGCTGCGGGTGCCGGCATGCGTGGAGCGGGCGCATATTCAAGGGTATGCATACTTGAGGTCTTCTAATGCATTTTCAACCATCAATTTTATTCTTGTATGGTGTTTGTTATTGAATTCTGTTACATTGAATGTGTTTCTTCTGTCCAGGAGGATATTCCAATGTCCGACATGGCTTATCCTGATGGAACTCATGCACCTCCTGTTGGCGGTGTTCGCATCTACCCACCTGCACCGGTATGTATTTTAGAATGTAGCTAGTTTTACTTGTGGGCTGATGTGTTTGACATTGTGGAACCAGCTAGAAAAAAAAAGAGATTCATTCACTTCTCTGTGCCAATCCTGTCATTAGTTGCAGAATGTCTTGGTAATACAAATTGTGTCAATTTGTAATTTTTTGTTCAGCTTGTTTCCATTTTCTTTTTTTTTTTTTTTTTTTTTTGCTCCCCTTGAGCTCGTAATGAAACTTAAAACATCCATTTATAATTTCTATTTCAAAGATTCTATGAACCATGGTTGGATGTGGATGTTTTGAGCACACCTTGCCTCCTTGTTTTGGAACGCTTGCTTGAAGATTGGCTTTAGAAGCAGTCTATTCAGTGTCAAAGCTACAGTAATTGCAGGGGCCTACTTGTGTTTAAAATAAACCAGCTTCCTTCAAAATCATCTCATTCATCTTGCTTTGGAATTCAGGATAATTTCTCTTATTCTGGTTGTCGTGTTGGAAGAAATTTCAAAATCATATCCCACCATTCATTCTTCATTCTTCTGTGCTAACAAATGCCTTAGGAAACTGTATCTTCTTCCCAGGTGGTTTATTTTTGGTGTATGTGCTCTCAACAATTATTCAGGGTTTCAGCATGTTTGGTCACAGTAATTGGTCTAAGGTGCGCTCAAAAAGATTTGGTCTAAATGATAAGAATAAAATTACAGGAAATCTAAGTTTCATAGCTCTGCTACAAGTGCATTTTGTGGCAACTTGACTTTTGAAATTAGTACCAGATGGCATCATTCTTAGTCAGAGTTGATAATATCTCATACCGTATTTAATTTATATCTCCTCTTTTTTTTGTAGTGGAATGTTATCCCGTAGTTAATCTTTGTTTCTCTTTATTATTTCTGTGTTTTGGAAAAATGACATCCAACAACACATGGATGCTCTTAAAAGTTTATGCAGACTTTGATACTACTGTTTCTGAGAGACTCTCGAACACTCATCCTTAGTACAGTATTAGGTTGTCATGTTGTCGTTTGTCTACTGGAAGGGAGCAGTAACAAGTGACTGGGGTGAGGCGTGCAAGGCAAAATACTTTATTGAGTTTGTTTCTCTTGTTTCGCCAGCCAGTGCAGCACAGCTAAAGGCTAACCTGTCCATGCTTGTATCTTCGGTGGGTGTAATGGACCTTTTCTACATTTGCATGTAGTGCTGCATGATGGAATTGCCTGGTGCTTTGCTGAGGTGCATGATGGATTAATGGGATGGGCCTTTTTCCATTGTGGTTTGTTGAACTAAATCTTTGTATGATACTGTTCCAGGTGTAGCATGGATGGATCAGAAATAGTTAGGTTTTCAATAACCAACTTAAAATGCCTTCTTTTATAAAATGCTAACTCCTAAACATATGACTTTTTTTCACTAGTGCGAGAAATTTGGAATGGATTCTAGAGCGGTTTAGGTTTACTCTTAGGGTGTAGCCTACTATAAAGAAAAATAGAAATGGGACCACTTAGGAAATTTTCGTATCTCATTTGTGTAGCTTTGGAAATTTAATGAAAATTGGGGTATACTAGTCTCTGCTGGAAACAATAGATGACACTTAAAGCGATAGATTTTATTGTTTCCTGCATTGGTTTCTTGTCTTAGTGACTAGTCTAACCATACATTGTTTTTAGCCTCATAGTTTTGCTGTTCCTTACTTAAAAGGTATTATTTGGATCATGAAAGTGCATGCCTTTTGAATTGGGACATTTGCCCATTAAGTTAGATACAATAATTGTGAAGTTCAAATCTGTTGAGGAGTACATTGTTCATTTAATGTTGATGGACTACCATCTATGTTCCATTCCTGTTTCCCCCTACTCCGTTTGGTCAAGGGCAAATTACTACTATTGGTTATCTACTGGTTATCTATTGGTGTGTGAGCTTCTTCTATTAACCCAAAGATTTTAATTATTAACTCCACTTACTCTCTTTCTCCACATTTTTCTTCTAGTCAATTCCTGTTTTACATCAAGAAAAAAATTGTACTAAATCTTGGCTTTCTTGTCAGACACCTAATTTTTTGTCGCATTCTACTTTTCAGGGTGCCAAACCAGGGGAACCTCTCTATGCTCAGGTCAATAGAGAAAAGAAAAAAAATCGCCAATATGAAGGAGGAGCAGCCCCTGGCCCTGGGGATGTGTGGGGATATGAGGACCAACCTAAAGGTGCAGCGCCCTCGCTGGATGGGTCAGGAGCACCCCCAGGAGGCGACTCATGGGTATGAGTCTCGCCAAAGTAATCAAAGGAGAAACGAACACTGCCCCATCCCTGTGTGATCATGGAACATGAACTTCGCCACATGATGGATGGATGTTTTCCTAATCAACTGACATTCCCCCAGTTCTTGTGTACTGTTCAAGAAGAAGCTGAAGAATCGAAGCTCAAAATTTGACTGACTTCCTTTGTCAGTACGCAACACTTTGTAAGTTATTACTGTCTAGGAAATGCTGTACATGTGATGATGTGCAAGTTGTAGTCAATTTATATTTCATGCGAATTTTTTTAACATGAATGCTGTTTACATTTATAATGTTTTATTTGTGTCAGCAAGGAAACAGTTGAGAGCTATTGCCCTGATTTGATCTATTTTAAATCTTTGTCTAAGTATCAATTGTAAATCTTGTTACTATTTTGATTGTATTGAAGTTATTGCGACTCAGTTGTTGTTGTCATCCCCTCGCCCCCCAATACAATTTTAGTGAGCTGTATGATCTCATGCACACATCTAAGTCTCACATTATAGTAGCTGAAAGTGAAGTTTGAAAGGAAGAGAGTATCTGTGATCACATTTTAAATGCCCTTTTTGTTTTCCTCATTGCAAATATATTAAATGACTGGGTTGAGCTGTTATTGGAGCTCATTATTTCAGGTTGTCCTTTTCCCCCCCTTTTTTTGCATTGGTGTATTCCTTGAATCTAAGGCCCTAATAACCTGAAGTCATATCTATTTATGCATGTAAAAATGATAACTCCGCTCAACCCTTTAACATTCAAATGTCATATTGCAGACATCTCAAACACTTCATCTTAATTTTATGATATGGTTTACTTTTTTTTTCTCTTGAAGACAGACGGAAACTTTCAAGGCTTTGTACCATCAAATTGTTGTATTATGCTGGCTCTTTATTGATCTGCTTTGGGCTGTGGTCAGGCAGGTGTAGCCAAGTTATGTGTTGAATCTTTAGATGGTTAATTATTATATTCACTTATTGGATACTGGCAAATACGAAGCTAACATTTGTATATAGGAACATCAAAACTATGTGCCAGCACTTTTCACACTACTGTAGGTAGAGCCTTTGTGTGCCATGTGTGTGTGTGCATGTGTATGTGTAAAGTGTATGTATGTGGTGATAAAGTGTCAGTGGTGTATATGTAGCATATGGTTGTGAGTGTGTGAGTGCGAATATTGCCTGCAGTGAGTAGAAAAATTTTATAAGCCACAGGCACTTAGCAGAAATTTCACTGTTTGACTTAATAGATGGTCTGGTATGTCAGTATCTCATTGTTTTGACAGCAATTCATTTATTTGTTACTTTTGTACAGGACTGAATGATTTTATGATGGTGTATGTGGTCTGTTTTGGTGCCCACTGGTTTGTTTAATTTCTGCTTATTTTATGAGCACACCTTGCATATTTTATGTTTTGTTGTTTTTTAAAACATTTATTTAATAATTTTATCAACTGTTTATTTATGAGTCTATGTGCAGCACTATTTTGAAGATTAATTTTTTCATACTCATTTAGATGTGTCACTGTTAGCATTAACTTTTTAAATGTTGAAACAATTTGGGCTAGTTACTATACTCACATGACAGTTATACCTGGACTGTCAGTTAGTCCTGTTAATTCTTGGCAACATTCCAAACCTTTAATACATATTTCTAAACACATGTTTTTGAAACTCTGTTTGCATTGTGTCCCCTTACTTCCAAAAGCATATTTTATACATATACATGCCTCTTTGGTTTCAAGACCCTAAATTTTGATTGAAACTTTTGAAGGACTTCGTGTCTTTTTCACATCCTGGTTGTAAATTCATAATTTTGAGTGATGATAGCTTACAGGGTACTTTTCATCTGTAAGTGCAACTGCTCAAATGTAGTCAAATTTTTGCGTGAGCTAGCTATTCAGAAAGAAATAAAAATAATTCATATCTATAGGGAGCTCAGGAACAAATCTTTTCGTTATTTCTAATTTGGCTCATCTGTAGAATTGTGCTGAGTTCCTTCATGATTCTTTTGCTCATTTTGTTAATATTGAAGGACGAAATCAATTGTGTGTTCTTCAGAGTTTGAAAATTGCCGTAAAAAGCTGGACAAATATGTATTGTAGTCATTCCTGTTGATCTTACAGAACTGTTAACTGTCATGGTGTTTAGCTCTATTCATGTTTATTTTCATTCCAATTTTATTGTGCTTCCCTCCCTTTTCACTTGTGTAATACATGTAATATTCAACATGTATGTGTATACTTGAATTTTCTGTACATAACTTAAACATACATTGTATGTGTTGATGTTTGTGTTCATTCAACTACAAGTTCATTACAAGATCAGCTTAAGCATAACTTTGAATGCCTCTCTTCATTCTTAAGGCTTGTTCATTTTTATTGAGAGAAATTAATGGACAACCGGTTAGTTGATCAAAATCACTGCATTGCTTCTATGCCTGCCTTCAGAATGGTTTAAAACAGTTTTCAAATCAATATGAAATGAGAAATTGCCCTATCTATCGTGGTAGTGCTCAGTTCTGGATTTTGAATACAACTGACTAGTATAAGCCATTAACTTGTTCTACTTAACATATGTTTAACTTTCTTGTGATTTCTTTTTTAAATGTTATAAGTCTCTTTAAACCATATAATGCGTGCCACATAATGTCCTGAGAGAGACTGCTGCAAACCATTGGGCGCCTGAACATGCTGTGAAATTCGATATGTTAAAATCAAAGGGCATTTATTTTTAATGTGAAGTTTATTTGCTTTGATCATCTCACATATATACTTAAAAGTTGTACGAAATGAAAGAACTTTTTGTTTTATATTGTAATAAAATGTGTATGAACGTTTATTTCTCTCCTACTTTTTCTACAATATCAGAATGCATCAACTTGAACTCAATGTTATCATTTATATTTTAATTATTGTATGTACTGACATTATTTGTAAAAATAAACCCTCAACTTGATTTTATGCAGCAAATCTTTTTTTACATTTTTATGCTTCCTTCTAAAGCGTGCTTGCCAAAGCATGGTACACACCAAACCTGTCTAACTAGTACACACTTACAAACGCCTATGCTTAGTATGGAGTTGTACGGCGCCAAGCATGCGTTTGTAAGTGCGTTGGCAGGCTGGCCCCGCTAGGCCGAGGCTAGCCGAGGCTAGCCGAGGCCAGGCCGACCGCATCGCGCCCCTGAGTTAGGGACGGCGATTTCGATTAATCGCAGGTGCGATGCGATTTTTTCAAAAATCGCGGTGCGATTTCGGTTTTTGAACCTCGCGATTAATCGCAAAATAGCAAAAATCGCTAAATGCAAAAATCGCACCGTGCATGGATTTCGCGACCACTGCACCGAAGAGGCTGGCGCGTGTTGTCGGTGCCACTAGCCTGCCATTTGACCACTCAGGAATTTGTTTGGCACTTTTTAAAGAAGATTTTGTGCCATAATGGGTAGTATATAAGTATTGTTGCGTTGTTTGCGATTTTGCGATTCTGCGATGGTGTTGCGATTCTTGCGATTTTGCGATTAATCGCATGAACTCGCGATATTGAGAAATCGCAATCGCGATACAAATGTTGGAAATCGCCCGTCCCTACCCTGAGTCACTCCCTTAGAGGCCTACCCCAACCGCCCCAACCCACCTCAGCGCGTCAAATGGGTGGCCTACCTTGGGTGCGCGCCTCTATGTATGTGTAAGAGCTAGCTTCCTCTCTGAGATGCAAAAGAGTTCCCGCCGTCGGCTCCCACCCCCCCTACACTCAGAAAAGCTTGCAAAGAAAAGTACTTTGCAGTACAAAGTATTCTCCGGCATTGTATTACGAACTCCCTTGCAAACTTTTTCCTTCGCATTGCAAAGAAATAGTTCGTAAGTTGCGAAGAAAAAAAAGTTTGCAACGTTGCGAAGCATTGGTTTGTAACGTTGCAAAGCATTTTCTTTGCAAGTTGCAAAGAAATACTTCGCAATGCAAAGAAAATAGTTTGTAAGAGAGTTTGCAATACAATGCCGGAGAACACTTTGCAAGGTTTTTTGAGTGTAGAACGCAAATATTGGAGTTGAAAACACCGTTGACGTATTTACGTTTTCATTCTTTATTTTTCAAATTCATTTTCAGTCACCTTCGTCGTAAGTACACAGGCGATCACGCCTCCAAGAGAATCACGGTGTAGGTCACCGCGGCCACGATGACCTGTGGGAACGGGTGAAGAGGTGACTTTGTGGCCTGCTGCAGACTGAGCATCGCTTCGTCACTCTGTCTCTCTCCTGTCCCACGACACTCTCATTCCAGGAACGTGACATCACGTTAAAACGAACGTGACAAAATGTCACGTTTGTTTGAGCATTGTGAATTCACACCCAAACGAATGTGACACAATGCTCAAACGAACGTGACATTTTGTCACGTTCGTTTCAACGTGATGTCACGTTCCTGGAATGAGAGTGGAGTGTGACAGAGAGAAGACAGAGACGACGACGACGGCACGGGGTGGAACCAAAAACCAGTCCTCTCGAGCGAGACGGGCTTTTGTTGAAGGGGCGAGAGCACCACACTGATAAAACTGAAGCGTACACGTGTCAAAGAATCCGAACAGTCGCTACACGCGGAAGGACACGACGCGTAAGGCAGCATTAAATCTCTGACTGGCAAGGAGTAGTTGACGTAGTCGTGATTCATTTTACAGTAAGACATGTCCAGACATTAACCGCATTTTTCCTCATTAATAGTTTTTAAAAGCAAAAATACTTGTACTAAATCACATTATTTATGTCACTAGTAACTTATGTACGTACCAAAATTGTCGTACATTATTTAATATTTCCTAAGAAGTTCTTTAAAAAAGGAAAAGTACGTACTATAGTTGCACAAATTACTTGCATAAGTACTGAGAAAATAAGCAAAAAGTCAGTAACGTGCCGAGAGTGTAATTGTGCATTACATTTAAGCACAAACAACTACGCTTGAATCCAAGCGAAGCAGCCAGTACATTTGAGGGAAGGCGGCACACTGCGCTTCAGTTCCACCAGTGCACTCACTGAATGAAGCAGGACCACGTCGACGTCGAACAAGTCGCACACGGGGAAGCGGACACGGACGCTGTAGAGTTGCAGCCTCAAGAGTCTCCTCTGGGCAAGGGAGAGTTTTGAAGTAGTTCGTGTTCAGTTTTACAGTCAAAGCACAGTGGGCCAGAGAACCGGCGGAGGTGGCCATGCACACTAAATGTTTTTGCACAAATTTTGTACGAGACATCACAGTTTTTTGTGCACACGAACTTTTCGTACAAATTTGTACGAAATTATGCACAAAAAGGGGAAATTTGTGCAGTTTTTCGTACAAAAATTGAATGAAAAGTTCGTGTGCACAAAAAACTGCGATGTCTCGTACAAAATTGTACTTAACATTTAGTGTGTAACTCTAGACGCGTTTTGAGCTCCCGAGTCGCTAAACACGGCTCGAACCGAGCGTGTGACCCCACCGATGGATTCCTCGTTTGGAGATCAATCCACTGGTGGGGCCACACGTTCGGTTCGAGTCCCATTTAGCGACTCTAGAGCTCAAACCGCCTCCAACGGTCTTCTGGCCCACTGTACTACTGTGCAAAGTTACGAGCAGGTGTACGTCGGGAACCTCGCGGGCCGGAGTGGACGACTGCAGGGCTTGCTCCGCGCCTTGGACCTGCCGGGGAAATTAAACCATCAGCGTGGGGGGCTCGCTGGTCAGCCGTCCAGCGACGTCGAAGCAAGTCTCACCTGGCGGCCCACCAGCTCGCAGGCCACGATCATGGCGACGTACTGCGAGAGGCCGAGGCCGCCGTCCATGGCCGCGGCCACCAGGACGGCGGCGGAGAGGCGCGCCTCGTACAGGGCCTTGGCCAGCACGTAGATGGCCTGCATGAGGTCGAGCAGCGCCACCGCCAACGACACCAGCAGCAGGGGGCCCAGGGCGTCCACCAGCGTCTCCACGCACTCCACCACGGCCAGGTGCAAGCGCCGCGAGGCGAGCGTGGACTCATCAGTGGGGTGGAAGGGGGACGGACCCCCCTTGGGGCCCCTGGCCTCCAGACAGCCACCTGAACCGCAGGCGAATAGCCACACTTTGCCCGAGGTAGAAGGCGAGAAGTATTTCTTTGCCCTTCCCCCTCCGAGGCCGGATCTGGCGTGTGCTTGGCGTGTGCTTGGCGTGTGCTTGGCGTGTGCTTGGCGTGTGCTTGGCGTGTGCTTGGCGTGTGCTTGGCGTGTGCTTGGCGTGTGCTTGGCGTGTGCTTGGCGTGTGCTTGGCGTGTGCTTGGCGTGTGCTTGGCGTGTGCTTGGCGTGTGCTTGGCGTGTGCTTGGCGTGTGCTTGGCGTGTGCTTGGCGTGTGCTTGGCGTGTGCTTGGCGTGTGCTTGGCGTGTGCTTGGCGTGTGCTGGCGTTGCCGTTGCAATGGCTTTGCGGCGTTCTGGACAAAATGATTGGCCGGGCACTGTTTGGCGCTTGTGGAAGTATTTAGCGATACTTTGCGTCCGTAGTGAATCTCGCGTGGCAAATAGTTGAATGCGCTCACCATGCCTTGGTGGAGGCCGTCGCAGTGCAGCCGCAAACACAGGTCTGCGCGCAGAGCTCCTTTCATGCAAGATGAACCGCCGCGGGCCCAGCAGCGACGCGTCCACCGCGCCGTCCGAACCGACTATCGCCAACGCGCGGACACACCACTGCAGGGGCGTTCAACAGCGCGCACGCCAGCGCCCCAGCGTCGCTTCGCAGAAACCCAGGGGATGTCGAAGGACTGAGAGAGAGAGACGAAGAGAAGAGAGACTTGATGTCAATGAGATGGGCAGAAGATTTTAGAGAGAGAGGAGGAGAGGGTAGAGAGAGATAGCAGAGGGAGTGTGAGAGAGGAGAGAAAGAGAAAAATGAGAACACGAGAGAGCCTAGATCCGCCTGAAAGGTAGGCAAGAGAAACACTTCACCGTTGTCGGTCTTTGCTCCCACTCAGGCGGCTGATCGGCCTCTCCGACCTCTCACTAGCCACCTACAGGTGTGTCGCGCGAGCACGCAGCAGCCGGGAAGCCGCTGCAGCGAGAAGTGCGTCCCGCACGCAGGCGGCGCGCCAACCAAAGCACCTGCGCACCGTGTTCACACAGCTTGTCGCTCTGTCACATCTCGACCTAGGGACGCCAAGAGTGCGAGAGAGACAGCGGTCAGTAGACTGATTCCGGGCGTCACTCCCGTCGCTCTGTCTCTCTCGCACTCGTGGGTGCGAGAGAGACAGAGCGCGAAAACGACTCTCGGCATGCGTGTGCACGTGCAGCGCGCACCTGGCAGCAGACGGCGGCGGCGCTCAAGACGTGTGTTGGCGAAGGCGGGCGAGTGCTTGCGTGCGTCCGCGTGCTTTGCGGGTCGGCCTACGCTGGACTCGGCGGGCGCTCGCACGCTTGGAGCCGCTCACCACCGCCTCGGTGGAGGCCGTCGCGGAGGCAGGCCGCCACCAGCAGCAGGTTGGCGGCGCAGACGGCCGTGCCGGCGTGCACCGCCACGCCCTGCCACACCAGCAGCGCGCGGCCCAGCAGCGACGCGTCCACCGCGCCGTCCGAACCGTCCATCGCCAACGCGCGGACCACCAGCTGCAGGGGCGTCCACAGCGCGCACGCCAGCGCCGCCAGCGTCGCTTCGCAGACAACCCAGGGGAAGTGAGAGGGACAGAGAGGGAGAGAGAGAGAGAGAGAGAGAGAGAGAGAGAGAGAGAGAGAGGAGAGAGAGAGAGGAGAGAGAGAGAGAGAGAGAGAGAGAGTAGCAGAGGGAGTGTGAGAGAGGGAGAGAAAGAGAAAAATCGAGAACAGCGAGAGAGCCATAGATCCGCCTGAAAGGTAGGCAAGAGAAACACTTCACCGTTGTCGGTCTTTGCTCCCACTCAGGTCGGCTCTGGATCGGCCTCTCCGACCCTCCGTCACTCAGCCACCTACAGGTGTGTCGCGCGAGCACGGCAGCAGCCCCGGGAAGCCGCTGCAGGCGGAGAAGTGCGTCCCGCACGCGGCGGCGGCGCGCCAACCAAAGCACCTGCGGCACCGTGTTCACACAGCTTCGTCGCTCTGTCTCTCTCGCACCCCTACGGGACGCCCCAAGAGTGCGAGAGAGACAGCGGTCAGTAGACTGATTCCGGGCGTCACTCCCGTCGCTCTGTCTCTCTCGCACTCGTGGGTGCGAGAGAGACAGAGCGACGAAAACGACTCTCGGCATGCGTGTGCACGTGCAGCGCGCACCTGGCAGCAGACGGCGGCGGCGCTCCACACGCACGTGTAGTTGGCGAAGGCGACGAGGCGCTTCACGTCCAGGGCGGCGAGCGCGGCGAGGCTCGGCGCCGAGGCCGACCAGTGCAGCACCGAGAGCAGCAACAGAGCGGCCAGGCAGCACAGCGACCAGGCCTCCGACCACGGCGACACGGCCTCGGACTTGGCGGCCTCGGGGGCCGTGACGTCAGAGGGGCGGACCTTCCGTCCGGAGGGGCGCGAGGAGGATGGCGGTCGCAGCGCGAGCGGGGCGAGCCCGAGGCACCGCGCCGGCAGCAGCAACGTCGACAAGGCCTTCATGCTGGAGACGCGGAAGGCGACTCGCCTCCAAACTAAATGTGCCACTGGCACGCTTGCCACGGCCACGGGCCGCCACGGCGTCCCTCGGCCGGCGTGCCGAGCGATCCAGAAGAGTGGTTTCGTCGCTCTGTCTCTCTCGCACTCATGGGGCTCTCCGTATGGGTGCGAGAGAGACAGAGCGACGAGCCGCGCGGCTGTGGCAGTGATCGACTTGCCCGCGATGCGTTTGTTTGTGTCCGGACATTTGTCATGCGCGGCTCCGCCTACCTCGACGCCAGCGGGCGGAGAAAGGGACCTTCCCTGTATTGCCATGTGACACGCATCGTCCCGCCACTCACAACCGGTGTTTGGGGCGGCCTTATCTTTCGATAATCTACACCTTCCTCTTCACTCTAAATGTCTTACAATGAAATTTGACCTATGTTATTCGTATGTTACAGTGAATTCGGCGCAAGCATAATACGAAGCCATTTTCCTTCGTAATACGAATCTTTTTTGCTTTTTCATTGTAAGGTACAAAGAAATACCTTCGTAATACGAAGAAAAACCACCTTCGTATTAGGCTTGCGCCATGTCCTTCGTATTATGGGAAATTTCTTCGTCACACATAGTGTGTTGCGCTTGCCGTTTATCATCCAGTGCTCTAGTACAAACTAAAGTGTGTTCTCAGTATGCGTCTACAGATGCATACTTGCAAGTACACACCAACAGATGCATACTCAGCTGAGTACACATTTACATATGCATACTCAGCTGAGTATACATCTGCAGATGCAAACTTCGATGAGTTAGGTATAGGTATACATCTGTCGTGTGTACTCAGCCAAGTATGCGTATCTGTAGATGTGACTCAGCTGAGTATGCATCTGTAGATGTGTACTCAGCTGAGTATGCATCTGTAGATGTGTACTCAGCTGAGTATGCATCTGTAGATGTGTACTGAGCTGAGTATGCATCTGTAGATGTGTACTCAGCTGAGTATGCATCTGTAGATGAGTACTCAGCCAAGTATGCATCTGTAGACGCATTCTGAGTACACACTTCAGTTTGTGGAGTGCTTTCTACAGTATCCCTCAGCCACTCGTCATTTGTCTTAAAATGAGAATTCCAAAACGTTTTCTGGCCACTTCTTCTCCGTGGACGCACTTTCATGTTGGCTGTGGGGGCGCCGTTATGCACAAGTTGCAACAGGAATATGATGAATGGGTTTTTATTAAAATAATGAATGGCAGTAATAAAAATAGTGTTTGATGAGAGAGAGCGCAGGGCGGTCCACCAAGTGGTTGCCGGCCGCTGGAGGTATCCGAAGATTTTCTTACATTTTGTTAGGGAGTTCATCACCACACGATAGCAAATGTACCATTGAAGTGGCGATACAATGAAATGACTTTTTAAAAAATCTTTTATTATTTTTTTTAGAAAATTAATTTATGAGCTGTTCAGTTGCTCGTGGCTTGCTGCATAACTGGGCCATAATTGGGATCAATGGAGCCCAACACGTTCATCATGTCGTTGATGATGGTCTGGGTGATGATGAGGCTCTTTCTCGAGAAGACGAACTCGAAGTGGCTGAACAACGGGTCTGGGTGGACGAAGTCCTTCACCATGGTCCGGAGATTTCGTTGCAGGTACGCGTAGTCCTGCCAACGGAAGGGAGGCTCACACACTGCCAAACCTAGTGTGGACGACTCCGCACTTTCTGTTGCGAAGTAATTCTCACTAGGACTTGTGGAGTTTGCAGCCTCCATAGGACTTGTGGAGTTTGCAGCCTCCACGAAGGGGCTCATCATCATCATCATCGTCATCATCAGGCTTCACCAGACCTTTAGCGTTCGAGTAAGCAGCTACAGCAAGCGTAGTACTCAGACTGCAAACCTCAAATGCTGGCAGTGCCCCGCCTGCCGCAGCTACCCTCTACTTGGGGGTGCACTGTGCAGAACCCCTATCTCTTGGGGAGGAAGTGCGGACATTGAAAATTCCACACCTCGCACTTCAAGTGAGGAGTTCTCCCCACTTGATTTCACAGTGAGCCAAACGGTGCTTCGTCGCTTTGTCTCGCACCCACCGGGGCGCTCCATGAGGTCCATCCCAGTCAGAATTAGGTGTTCGAAACGACGTCGATTCGGACGCCTCATTCTGGTTGGGATGAGCGGGAGGGGGACGGAGCACCGACCTTTTCGACGGTGAAGGAGTCGGCGTTGGCCCGGTAGACGTAGACCGGCGCGGTGATCCTTTCGAGGGGGTAGTTGGGGGGCACCGGCGTGCCGTACAGCCTCATGCTCTGCTCCTCGTTGAAGTGGTACGGCCGGAACGTGTCGGGGGCTGCGTCAGTTCAAAGTGAGGTTAGGTGACCGTCTTACGGAACGGCAGCACTCGGCTTAGATCCAAAGTGAGTCATGCACCGTGCGACTGCTGGGCGAAGTGCCATAGTGTCGGGAGGGACCCGGATACAGGCAGAGTACGCAGGAAGAAGTAATTATCGGCCTGAAACGAAACAGGAGTCGGTCAAGTTCGATGATCCCCAAGACATCTTTTGTGTGTTTTTCGAGGCGATGACTAACCTCCCAGTTCCAGATTCGAGAGCGGCTACTCACCACGTAGTCCATGTACCGAGGGCTGTTACTTAAGTACAAGTACAAGAAGTTGCAAAGCACGCGAAGTTCCCCGACGCACACTTTGATCTCGACTTCGCGGATGAGGCGGTGTGGCAGCGCCAGGATGCCGCGCTCGCGGAAGATGCCCTGCAGAAGAGCGTCGATCTACGTCAAGCAGGTCAACGAGGAGCATGCACATCCTTCAATCGACATTTTAGCAATATTCATGGACGTTTGTGCGCATTAATAGAGTTTTGTGAAGAATTTGTTAAGACGAAATTGATAATTTTGTTTGTAGAACAAGCAAAATTGTTAACACGCTTATTAATGCGCACATACGTCAATATGTTAGTATACAGAAACTCGGTTCGAGTCTGAGCCAAGCTTACCTCGGTGAAGTTGGCGGTGGCCCGCACGATGCGGATCAGGTTGTTCTCGGAGTAGAACAGCGCCGTGACGGGGGCCTGCAGGAAGGCCGCCATGATCTTGTCGTTGTACTCGGGCCGCGAGGACGTCATGATGAGGAAGGAGGCGCTGCCCATCGAGAAGCCCACGTACAGCAGCTGCTTGAAGCCCGTCCGGGACAGCACCGTGTCCACCGAGGCCGTCACGTCGTACACGCCGTGCTCGTGGTAGCTGCAACGAACCAACGCGAGTCTAACCCTCTCACTCGCACTCACGGGGTGGCATAGGCCATAAAGACAAGCTACTAACGTTGACAGCTTGTCTTCATGCAAAGGCCCTCCCCTCATTCCCTACACTACAAACCTAACTGTCTACTAAGTACACACTTACAAATGCATGCTTGCAAGTACACACTTACAAACGCATGCTTGGCGCCGTATAACTCAATGCTAAGCATAGGCATTTGTAAGTACTTGCCAAGCATGCATTTGTAGGTGTGTACTTGGCCAAGCATGCTAGTGTGTACTTACTTAGCAGACAGTTAGGTTTGTAGTGAACCCTTATCTCACGTTGGTTCAACTACAACGAGAAACGGGTATATGCAGAAGAACGAAAGATCTTGCCGAGATGGTTCCGGTTGGTTTCTCAGTATTATAAATTGTTAATAGGACCCAGAGAGGACATCAAGTCAAAACGATGTCAAGATCAACTCAAACTGATGTGGGAGGATCGGGGAGGATGTCCTTTTGTCATCCTTCGACCTCATTATGACTTCCGCGCCGCCGCCACCACGACTCCCGGCCGCGGAAGAGGTCCCCGTCAGTACCCCGCGCACAACACAAAGTCGCACAAAGTTCTCCCGCCAGGCTGACGCAAAGCACGCGGAGTAGCGACGCACCTGTACTGCCAGTATCGAGGGTCCGCGGTCGACAGCCGCTCGTGGCGGGAGGAGCTCACGGAGCCCCTCAAGTTGGTCATCCACACATCGAAGCCCGCGTCGTACAGCAGCAGCGCTGCGGGGGAAAGAAACTCGTCACAACACTCCGCTGTCGCTCTGTCTCTCTCACACTCACGGGGCATCCCGCAGGGGTGCGAGAGAGACGGAGCGACGACATGATGCTTCGGTTTGAGGCTGGTGCTCTCCGAGGCCCACACTGTAAAACCAAACGTGGACAACTCCACATTTGAAATGCAGAGGTGTGGAATTTTCAGTCTCCACACTTGGAAGTGCAGAGTTTGCAGCCTCCACACTTCAAAAACGTGGAGTTGTCCACGTTTGCACCATGCTAAGAGATACGGGCTCTGTGAGCTACTCCACACTTGAAGTGTGTAGGCTGCGAACTCTGCACTTCCAAGTGTGGAGACTTACTCTACACCAGGAAGTGTGGAGTTGCCCACGTTTGGTTTCACAGTGCAGGCCGCGGTCGCTGGGCTGCCGCTGCGAGCCTCACCCTGAGCGTAGCCCGGGCCGAGCACCAGGTAGGTGACGGCGGCCGAGAAGAGCGGCGGCACCATGAGGACGGGCACAGAGCCCGGCCGGGGGATGCGGTCCATGGTCAGGATGTAGCCATCCTCGGTCACGACGCGGTGCCTCTCGTGGGGGTAGCCGAACTTGGTCAGCAGCTCGCCCTGCAACACCGCTAGGTCACTCCTAGGGGAAATCACTGTGCATTTCGGTGTACAAATCCAATGAATCTCAGTCAAATGTCGATGAATTTCAGTCGAAATTTGACGAATTTCAGTCGAAATTTGACGAATTTCAGTCGAAATTTGACGAATTTCAGTCGAAATTTGACGAATTTCAGTCGAAACTTGACGAATTTTAATCAAAATTTGATGAGTTTCAGTCGAAATTTGATTAAGTTCAGTCGAAATTCGATAAATTTCAGTCGGAATTCGATGAAATTCAGTCAAAATTCGATGAATTTAATGAATTTTAGTAAATTTTACAAGTTTGATGAATTTCGTTGTACAAATTTGGCTGAAAGTTCTTTCCCCTTGGGTCACTCTGTCTCCGTCGCACTCCTACGCAATGTTCAACAGTGAAGATTCTCCATATTATGGTAAAAATGTTCCATATTATGGTGGTGCAGCTGACTTCGTAACATACCATTGAGAATTCACTGTACCTTATAGAGATTTTGACGAATTTCGTTGGTATTATGGAGGAAATCTCCACCATATTATGTTGGTGCAGCCTTTCACCGTAAGACATTTACTGTGCGGGTCGCCCCATGAGTGCGAGAGAGACAGAGTTCGGTGGGACTTACGGCCGTGACAGTGTACTCGTCGCGGCCGTCCGGGTCCAGCGGGGTGATGGGCGGCCGCGGCGAGTCACGCGCCCAGCAGCCGGCCACCCCCGCGGCCAGCCACAGCGTCAGCAGCAGCAGGCGGGGCGCCAGAGAAGTCCCCGCGGTCGCCATGGTCCCCATGGCGGAGCAGCAGCGAACGCGCAGCTCACGCGCAGCCCGCACGGACAACAGGCGTGCGTGCGTCACACGCCACGCGCCACGACTCGCACGGCACTGCACTGGTTTCGCCGGTACTCGGCTGGTTGCTTGTCCCACAGTGCAGTGCCGCCGCGCCGCCGTGCTCCATGATGTCCGCGGCGCCGGTGCACCGACGTACCGACGGTGTACCGCCCCCACCGCGTGCTCAGCCCAAGTGCAGCGCCAGCAGACGCCTCGCGCCGAATCGACTCATCGCCCCGTCTCTCTCGCACTCCCGGGGCGTCCGGGCGTCCCGCAGCAGTGCGACAGAGACAGAGCGACGAAACGACTCTTCGGACTCGCCCGACAGGAGACGTTTGAGGAGATTATGAGGCACGCGTAAGAACAGGTTCGGAAACGCCTTGCCGTGTGTGTATGTCGGCGTGTGATGTTTGTTTGCACGTGTGCGCCCGGAAAAGGGGGGGGGGGCTGCCCGAGGGGGTAAACACTTCAAGAAATCGTGTACAGACTACTCGGTATTACGCTGTATTACGGAGGTATTACACGTGTATTACGGCCTTAAAATGCAAAAATTTGGCACATTTGACCCGAAAAAGGTATTACGACTACGTGTATTACGCGTAATACACGGTTTTTGTGTACAGGGTATTACGCGAGTGGTTACCCCCTCGGGGCTGCCTTTCGGTCGTGGCGTTGAAGAGCGCGAGCCAAGCCGAGATTTGAATGTTGTACTGCACCCAATTTTGTTAGCATCGGCCACCTTCTTTCACTCTTTTTTTTCGGGTGTGGGGGGAGGGGAAGGGGGGGGGGAATTGAACCACCATGACCATTGTCCCGACGTCGATTCGACGCGTGTTCTTTTAACCGCCAAGTAAACGAATCAGATTTCGAGTGCGGGATGCAGGCGGTTTTGCACTTGATATGATACGTCCATATGCATGAGCGGCGTCGAAGGCGTCAGCGGCCGAGCATAGGTCACAAGTGCGTGGTGGACTTCGAGACTCGGAGACCTCGAGACTTGCAGGCGCCACGCAGCTCACTCTACTTCCCGCCCAATGCCGCGTCTCCCCTCCCCCTCCCCCTCCCCCTCCCCCTCTCGCAGGCCCTGCTGACACACAGGTGACCGTGAAGGTAGCGGACGTCGGGCATTCAAACTGAAACATTTGTACTGATTTTTTTTTCAGAGTGGTTTCAGCCCGTCGGAAGCAGGTGGGGTGGACTGGGGGGCTCGCATGTTGATGTTGAGTTGCCTACCTCTCCGGCGCCGGCTGCAGCAGTGCCCACAAATCCTCAGTCTGACGGCATCAATCTCAGTTTGACGGCACTCCCTGCCCTGGGAGTGCGAGTGCACAGTGGGCCAGAAGACCGGTGGAGGCGGCCCAAAATTCTAGACGCGTTTTGAGCTTCAGAGTCGCTAAATGGGACTCGAGCCGAACGTATGACCCCACCAATGGATTGCTCGGTCGAAGAGCAATCCATTGGTGGGGTCACACGTTCGATTCGGTCCCATTCAGCGAGTCTGGAGCTCAAACCGCGTCTGGAATTTTGGCCACCTCCACCGGTCTTCTGGCCCACTGTGCTGTGGTGCCGCCTGCCGCCTCCCACATTGGATTTTCTGCCAGCGGTCGGCCGTCGTCGGCCCCTGCTCCGCCGCACACCAACGGACACCGGCGTCTGCTGGGCTGCCTATCCGCACCGGCGCTTGTATCGACTGGCCTCGACCAGGTGGTCAATGAATGGAGCCATGAATCATTAAGCAAGCGTCACAAAAGTACTGCCCTGCCAAAAGAAAAAAAAAAGTTGAAGAAAATAAATACGCAGCGTGCTGTTTTCTCATTACATTTTATTGTAATTATTCTTGGTATTCTAAATACACAGAAGTTATTTATGTACAGGTAAATGGATTCACATATTATACATTTTTACACTTATGGCAATGAAATAACGGAATGTGTCTTTTAGTTGGAATTCAGAGGCACTTTAAGAAGGCATAGTTATTTTTAACACGGTTAATAGTTCATTTACGCCTTACAGTATTGTCTTCCAAAATGCACCCACATGTCTTTGGTAAATAGTTTACACGACAGCTCCAGAAGTCATATCTCTGAAGGCTCAGAGCTGTATGTATCATTCATATCATTATTTATTAACAGCCTCAGGGGTTAATAGATGTAGTTTATTAAGAAAAGATTCGCATGGGTGTCAGGCACTGCCTGTATGACTAGCCAATAGGGAACTGGAGATTAAAAATAAATAATGGCATTCTATCCTAGTTGAAATTATTTCTCTCATCGCATTCTCTATACAAAAATAACTCTCATTGCTGTGAAGAAAATAAAAAAAGAGTGTCAATGCAGATAAACCTAATCAAGAGCACAATATGGCTGGTAGTGTTTCAAAAGAATGAATGAGACAGCATTGGATGCTCATACATGCCCAAATTTTCAAACCATCCGAGGCTTACTCATACAATGCTGTTGTATAGGTAACTTTTCAGACGTTGTCTGACAAATATCTGATTGATGCATTACGCTTTGAGAGACTTTCTTTGGTACCTGAGTTTTATGTTTGTTAGTTTAAAAGCACCATTTCCACAAATTAGCTGCTCTGAAAGTTCCAAATTATGGCTGATACTTGAAACCAGTGCTCTTTAAAAAGTAAAAGAATTTATCTGATGTTAGGCAGATATTTTCAGAATGTCATTTATGATGATATTTATAATATTACGGTTTAATTGTCAAGTCTAATGTAGATCAAAGTGATAAAAGAAATTCAAATTGCTTGCATTTTAAAATGAAATTACAAGGGGTCTAGAACTTTGCTATTGCTTCATCCAGGTCTTTTTTTTTAAATTATACTGGAAATATTGTCAATGCAATGCTTAACACAAACAAAGTATGCCAGGTATAAAAAAAAGACATAATTACAGTTCCACCAGTTCCTAGCCTTAAATTACATCCACAAAATCACTTACACACAAGATTCAGTCATTCTCTACCATTCTCAAACATTAAGCAAATTCTTCAACTCAACCCAATACAAGGTACAATTTTTCCATGCGCAATTTCATTCAAAGATTTATAACAAAATTTCTATTAAAAGCCATACATTCTTATCAGCAGTTGATCTTGAATAAATTTTATCATTTCATAAATTACAAAGGGCTGTTCAGTATCTATGTCAGTTGACCTTATTTTAATCAAAAGAGATGAGCCTCACAGCTGTTAAAAGTATTGCAACGCCGTCCAATTGCTCCAAATGCAGAGAGGGGAATAAGAGAGGGAAACATAACAATCATCAATCCTTTTCAATATGTACAATTAAAAATGATGATATTGAACAGAAGATACAAAAAAAAAAAAAATGCGAAAGTACAGTAAATATGATGGCACAATTTGTACAGCCCAAATAGTATGGGTTCAAGTCCAAATTAACCTTGCTGACAAGTTGTTTAAAACACATGCTATCCTCAGAACCACAGTAAAATTATGTATCTGAGAAACATATTGCAAGATACGAAATCACTCCAGCACAGTTCAATTTCCACTTGGATGTAGTCTAATAACATTCAAACAAATTCAAGTTGAAAAAGTTCATTGTATGGCAGATAACACGAAATCAATGTCATCATACAGCATAGCTAAAAAAATAAAATTTTGCAGCTGCCATCAGTCGTTGATAACCGATAATCTAGAGCAACTCAAAACATAATGATACAGATTAGCCAATCACTTGTTTAACTTTGATATGTGGGGGCGATTGAGTAGCATGGCAAGAGCTTATCCTTAGAAGAAACAAACAGCCCCCCAACGAACAAATTTTGCTTTAACTAAACAAAAGAAGTGCCTTTTGCCATCATGGAAGCAAATTAGTACACATGAAACCGACAATATACACCAGCACTGTAAAATAATCAACATAAATCTGAGATCACAGTAGTTTAACTAACAACAGAAAATTCCTACCGACAGACACACGTTCAATACACTGGAGACAGGTTGAGGGTGAGATTCCTGATGGTGTTGGTTCTCGTCGTGCGCGAAGACTTGATGATCTGCAGCACCATGGACTTGCAGTCGAGGCAGACGATCATCTGGATTCCCTTGAGGCGCTCCTTCTCGGGCCTGCCCGGCCTGCCCAGCGTCTTCGATCTGAGGAACTTGCTCCTGGGGAACGAGAACCAATGTGAGAACGTGTCGAACACATTTTACAAACGGCGTTTCGGAAAGGGCAACAGGTTGACACTGGGCCAGATGGCCGAGTCAGGAGGTTTCCATTGGCTGGCTGCATTCGAATCGGCTAGCCCTTGTCACTCCCAACGAGTGCTAATGGGATTGGCAGAGAAAGAGGTGCACGATTCGGATGCAGCCACCGGAGGGAGGGTCAGTTGTTGTAGGGACACAAGAGGAAACTGGAACAGCTGTTTCTAGGACAAGATTGGACATTTTAGAACTCATGCCATTCCAAATGGGATGTTTTTATCGTGGAAATAACATGGGATATGACATGAGTTCTCGAATTCTAAATCTTGTCCAGGAAACAGGTGTCCCTGTATCCAAAAATTACCCCAACAGACCCTACGCAGCTTTTCGACAGAACAACGTAACTTCATAGGGAGGGAATCCCACAGTAGATACACTACTGTTATGTATACTGGTGAAACAAAGGCATAAAAATTATGCCCTTTAAGGGCGTAAACGATATGCCCCTTAAAGGGCATAAATCGTTAATGCCTTTGAGAAGGGCATTAAAGTTTTGCTTGAAATTCCTATACCATTTACGCCCTTCCCAAGGGCATAAAACGATTTATGCCCTTTAAAGGGCGTAAAAGAGTATTTATGCCCTAAAGGGCGTAATTTTTATGCCTTTGTTTTACCAGTGTACGCATGCCACACATTTGAACCCCGCCCATGAAACGGCACCAAGTCACGCCGATGCCCTTACCTTCTGTCACTGCTGGCGGAGTCCGGGCTGAGGGTGGGCAGCGACACGGGTCCCTCCGTGGAGTCCGCCGTGGAGCCCGGGCCCGAGTTGGGCTGCGAGGTGGCGGGGGAGGCCCCCAGCGCGGACGCCGAGCCCTGGGAGCCCTGGGAGCCCTGGGCCGCGGCCGTGGTGTCGGCGCGCGACAGCTTGGGGCTGGAGGGCGCGCTGCCCACCGAGTTGAGGGAGCGCTGCGGCGAGTCCGTCTGCAGCAGGCGCGACATGAGGGTGCGCGAGAAGGACGCCGCGTCGTGCGACTTGCAGTCCTTGTCGTCGTCCGGCGAGGCCAGCTGCGACGGGCTGATGGCCACCACGGGCACGTGCGAGAAGTGCTCCGTGGGGATGCGCATCTGCAACAGGAGCCAGAGTTAGGGTCACACTGCACAGTGGGCCAGAAACTGGCGGAGGCGGCCAAAATTCTAGACGCGTTTTGAGCTCCAGAGTCGCTTAATGGGACTCGAACCGACCGTGTGACCCCACCAATGGATTGCTCTCCGGACGAGGAATCCATTGGTGGGGTCACACGTTCGATTCGAGTCCCATTTAGCGACTCTGGAGCTCAAAACGCGTCTAGAATTTCGGCCGCCTCCGCCGGTTTCTGGCCCACTGTGGACTGTAAAAATAAACCTTCCACATTTACGGAGGGAGGTCCGAAAATAAAAATGATGCCGAAGATCGACGAAGATTGTTGGTAAGTACATGAAGATTCTTTGTAGATAAACTAACATTCTTCGAAAATTCCCAAAGATTCCTAAAAAATTTACGAAGATTTCTTTGTGAACTTAAAAAGGAACCTTCGCAACGTGTTTTCCCCCAGAAGTATACATTTGTGAATTGTCAAACTTCCTACAGTGTACCGGCCTGACTAAGTATTTTCAGCATACGTAGCAGAAACTAGTTTACTTTGTTATACGAAGAAATAGTTCGTAAATTACGAGGTATTTTCTTAGTAAGCTTTCGTTTGCTTAAAACACTTCGTTATGACAAGCTTCTTTGGTTTGTAAGGCCTATTATAATTCGTACGGTTTCCAGAGTGCCAAAAACTGTCCGAGTGACCAGAGGCACGCCTTGGAGCTCACCTTGGAGTGACACTTGGCGCAGACGACGCGGTTGCACAGCCGGCACTGCTGGCCCTTAGGGCCGAAGAAGCCGAAACGCGTCTTCATGCACAGGAAGCACACCTGGAAAGGCAAGCAAAACGCGTTGAGGAAACACCGCACCGACAGTCACAACGTTACGTTTCGCGCGAAACAAAAGGCAGTTCGAAAAAGCCAAGCAAATGACGCACCTTTCCCTTCTCCGCGTCTTCTTTGACCCGCCCCTCCACCGGCAGGCTCTCCAGTTCCGCCTTGGTGAGGACGCTCCGGATGTGGACGATCTCCTCCAGGGTCAGCGACAGGCACTCCTGCTGCCACTGTTTCTGCAGGAAGAGAACCGCGTCAGCAAACACAACACACGTCTGCAAACGGGGATCAGGGCGGATCCAGAGGGGGGGGGGGGGAGGGAGGAGAGAGGAGAGAGAGAGAGAGAGAGAGAGAGAGAGAGAGAGAGAGAGAGAGAGAGAGAGAGAGAGAGAGAGAGAGAGAGAGAGAGAGAAAGAGAGAGAGAGAAAGAGAGAAAGAGAAGAGAGAGAGAGAGAGAGAGGGCCGCGCCTTCAGGGACGAGCCGGAAGAGAGAGGGAGACGCAAGGCGTACGAGAGAGAGAAGAGGGAGAGAGATGCAGGGAGGTCTCCGGCTCCAGGAGCGCCCGGGATCCTGCAGGACCACGTTCGGTGGAAGGTCGCAGGGGGTCCGGCCAGGGGGCGTCCCTTTCAGGCGTCCAGGGGCACGGGCACCTTGACCACGGCGGGCGACACGCCGGGCACGGGCTCGCAGATCATGATGGTGTGGCGGCGCATGGAGCGCCGGCTGGGGCACTGCGTCGCCAGGTCGTACGCTGCCCAACACCAAGCAAGTTAGCAACCAGGACCAACAATGGCAATTCAAATTTAAAAAAAATTATTAAAAATATTAATTAAAAACTCTTTTTATAACTTAAAAAAAAGAAAATAAGTACGGCGGACCACAAAAACAAAATGGTGCTTGTCCATTGAGTGACGGGGCATGGCGACACGCTTACAGTGGGCTTCCAGGCGTGGCACATCCTCAAATTCCGCCGACAACACATGTCCGGCACTGTAAGGGACGGGGATAGCTCAAGTTGCAGCCAAGCTTTATGACTGCTGGTGAATGCAAAGAGGGAGGGGGAGTGGTAGGAACCAGGTCCTGTTCAAGCAGCGCGCTATAGCCACTCCGGCCCATCGAATGGAAACCCCCACCAAGAATGAAGAGCAAGGGAAACAGATTCGTTCGCCTTCGGGTGCGAGTGAGACAGAGAGAGAGAGAGAGAGAGAGAGAGAGAGGCGGGTGATGAGAGCAGTGAAAAGTAACGCTAACATTTTGTGGCGGGAACGTGATATGGAAATACCCATCTCGAATACCAGAACCATGGGGTGTACAGACAGAGTGAGCTCCTTTCAATCGTAGGATGAAAATTAAAAAAAAAAAACATTACACAAACATTTGACTTGGTATTTCTTGCACGACATGCCATGTCACGAAAACAGAATTTTAAAAATAATCAGTGGTGGGAAGAGACTGACAGAAAAACATAAAAAGTCAAGACTAGCATGCTGTGGAAAATGATGCAAAAATTGAAGCTACAGGCTGATCTTTGATGCAACTCTTTGCCAAAAATATCAACAAAATAACAATTTAAACAAAAATGTCTGTTGACGATCATGTAACAAAAAAAGAGCAATTATGTTCATTTCAAGCAAAGAGTTGCTCACGCAAATTGAAAACACGATGCAAAAAATGCACACCATGCACACTAGAAGCTGGAAGGCAAGGCCTATTAGGTAGCTGCGGATCGGGTTGGGTGCGAGCGAGGCTAGGGCAGTCTTGCAGCGCTGGCTTGAAGATTCGATGGTGCCCGTCCTCGTCGAAAACGGCGATGCTGGCGGCGAGCTTTGGAAACAAATCCAGTAAGGACGTTTGCTGCTGTAGCTCAATAAAGGAATTAAGATGGGTTGGCATTTTCAAGTTTTAAATTACAAGACTGCATGAGAAATCTATGTATTTAGTACACAAAGTTTCAAGTTGTTATGTTACACTTTTTACATCTCTTAGCAAGGTAAGTCCTTATCGTACACCGCGTCAAAATTCATTAAGAATTGTCTAGAAGAAATTGATTTGCTTTCAGTCTTTGCAAAACTACACATAAACGAACAAAAGGTACTTGAGCTTATGGTGTCCAGACATGGTTTTATATACACGAACAGAATTCACATTTAAAAATAAATCATAATTGATAAGTCTGTTCACGTTGTGTGATTGACAAACATTAAAATTAAGGAATTCACAACAATGAAATGAGGGAAGACAACAAATTTCGGACATTGAGGGAGGGACCATTAAACAATGGTTGGCAATGTGCCCAGGGTGGTGTTAGGTCATCAGCATGCAGGAAGGGATGAGACACAAGCTTCAGTCAGCACAACAGACAAAATATGGACGGCATTAAATTGCGTGCATCGAGTACAAACGCCAATAAAACATAAATAATTGAAATTCTATTTCCGCTGTCTGAATGCGGATTATAAAACACACATGCAAAATCAATTTCTTTGTTATCATTAAAATGACATTCACAAAACAAACAATAATGGGAAAACAAGCACCCTATCTTGGAGAAGGGGTCTTGCTCATTTGAGAGGCATAATTATGCCTGTCAAAAAAGCTCACATAGAATCAATCGACTAGAGGACATTTTAAATGTACAACTTAATTCTGATACTTGAATAAAGTGGGGTCATTTCGTCAACAACAGCCTTTTCTAAGTTAAGCTGTTGACCAGGTAGGTCAGCTGACATCTCTCTAGATTAAGCTTTGGTATAATACTAAATCGAATTCGCCAACGAGTATAAAAGTTAAACATTTTACACTAAATACTTAAAAGACCAACAACAAAAAACAGACAGGTTGCAATTGATAAAGGGGGTTTCTTGAAAAAGTAAACGAGAGCTCTAGGGTAAAGCTGCCTAAAATTAAAATCGGATCAAATTTTGCAATGGGCGACAATGGAAGGGCATGATGATGGTGATGACGGTGACAAAGACAGAGACAAAAGACGACGATGAAAATGAAGGCAATGGAGATGTCGAAGGCGGAGCGAAAATAAAAGTAATCATTAAAAAAAACGTGAACGTTCCAGGCGCAGCATTTTTACAACGCTACACAATTAAAACCGCGAACATAGCCGCAGCTAGCCAGCCACTACTGAACGCTACACGCAGCTCCGCTAGGTCGGCTCTTGTCCAGGACAAGTGGTGGGGGCCTACATTCTAGCGCCGAGTCGCAGTACGAGAGGTAGGCGTCCCGCATCACGCCGTCGTGGGCCAGAGGGTCCCTCAGGGCGCCCTCCAGGAGGCCCCCGACGCCCTTGCCGGCGGGCCCCGCCGCCACGCCGCCGGGGCCGACGCCGGGACCGACGCCGACCACGCTGGGACTACCTGTCCGGTGCCAGGGGTTGCTGCGCGCCGAGCCGTTGGGGCGCGCGCTGTCGCCCGCGTCCTCGGCGGCCTCCTCGTGGTCGTCGTCGTCCACGTCCAGGTCGTCATCCTCGATCTGCGGGCACAGAAGAAATGGACGAATTGACAAAGGGAATCCAAAACAGCACAAACAAACAACAAGCCAACAGACACTGTAAAAAATTCCGTACTTTTGTACGGAAATGGTACAGAAAAATACAGTACGGAGGTCGCGACGGAGGTACGGAGAAAAGTACGGAACGTTCCGTACTTGCTCCATATGAACCCATGTAAATGGGTACGGAAAAAAAGTACGGAACGTTCCGTAGTTGGCAAGTACGGACGGTTCAGGCAAATTATTGACCAGACATGTTCCGTACTTTTTCCGTACCTTTTTCTCACAGTAAGGGGTTGCAGGAATAGAAAGCACCGCCGACTCAGCGGCATAGCATTCTTAAATCCAGACAAACTGTTTTAGCAGGTCTCTGCGAAGAAAATTGAACGTTCACATGGCATTTAATAAACGCAAAGAAGCCTCCAAAGCTTTACTCCGCTGGAGCTGGACCGGGTCAAGCGCCCCACAACGCGAACGAACACCCCGACGGGGGTCGCACTGCGCGGAATCACCCCGCTGGGTCTCGCCGGCGCCACAGAGGATTGCGATTGCGACCCCGATCCAGCGACTGTCCAGTCCAAACCACAGCCACGTCTCTTTCTTTCTCTCTCTTTTACGGGGCACACTCAGCCAACTCCATCTATGAGAGAGGGAACATTGCAACGACAGAGAGCGTCTTTGGCGCACCCTCGGCCCACCCCACCCCAGCGCCGCCACCCCACAAGGCCGTACCAGCCGTCCAAACAACTTTGCCGCCTGGGAGAGGGAGACAGGGGGGAAGGGGGGGGGAGAGAGAGAGAGAGAGAGAGAGAGAGAGAGAGAGAGAGAGGGAGAGGGAGAGAGAGAGATATTGAGAAAGAGAGGGGGGGAGGAGGCCGAGGGCGCACGCGCGGCGCCGCGACCTTGCCCTGGACTCCGCCACCCCCCGGCCCTGCCACCCTTGCGGCCCTGATTCCCGTCCCCTCGGCGCGAACCGCCTTCCGCGCCGCTAAACACTTCCCGGACCACCAAAGACTCTCTTCCTGAGCCTGGCACACCGCAAGCCGAAACTGCGCACTAGTGAGTGCACCTCGCTTCCTCGGCACCCTTCCTCCACAGTGCCCCATTCCTTGAGAGTGCACCCTTCCTCGACGAGAGTGCACCCTTTCCTCGACGAGAGTGCACCCTTCCTCGACGAGAGTGCACCCTTCCTCGACGAGAGTGCACCCTTCCTCGACGAGGGTGCACCCTTCCTCGACGAGAGTGCACCCTTTCCTCGACGAGAGTGCACCCTTCCTCGACGAGAGTGCACCCTTCCTCGACGAGAGTGCGCCCTTCCTCGACGAGAGTGCGCCCTTCCTCGACGGGAGTGCACTCTTCCTCGACGAGAGTGCACCCTTCCTTCCTCGGCAAAGGACAAACTTTTCAGCGCGTATGCCGTTGAGGAGCTGCATGTAGTTTTAAGAGTGTCCTCACGGCCAAGCAGGTGCTCCCAAGAGGGTGCTAAGGCTAAGATTGCACACGAAGATTGCTGTCAAGTTGGCAGCAGGTGCGAGACACGTGTTTGAGTGTTGGCAACAGACAACTTCTTAAATACTGGCACCCCTCACTGAAACCTAAAAGAGTGTTCAATTTTCGGATGGGCGTGATATTAGATCGAACCACCTTGAGCCCAATTTCCGACGTCAAAACCGAAAACCGAATTAGCTAAAATTGATCCGAAAATCGAACTCCTTGCCAAAGTGTTCAGAGGCTCCTCTCGCTTATGCCACCTCGCGCGTCCTTCCAGTGCATTGCCGGCTGGACGCGGCCAAACACCTCCCACCCCACTGCCCACCACTGCCCGAAAACATCGACCCCCCTTGCCTTCCCCGGGGAAGGCGCGCGTGGGCCGCGGTGCGCAATTTCTAGTGTAAGGTAGAGCAAGTCCTCCCGTCCCGCGCGGGGTGAATGGCGCAGGGGAGGTGAAAAGGGGTGGGGTGGGGGTGGGAGAACGATGACGTCATCCCCCGCGGCGCACGCGCAGTGACGCGCAGCCCGCCCGCCGCCCACGCCGCCCACCACAGACCGCCGCCCCCAGGCCGCCCCCGGCAGCCATGCAGCCAACCGGAGGCAAACGACAAAGCGCCAGACGGTGCTCCAGAGACGGCATGTCGCCGTGCCCAGGCCCGCTTACCAGTGCCGTGGTGACGTAGCCACGGGGGCTCCACAGTGGGCCTGAAGACCGGCGGAGGCGGCCGAACTTCTAGACGCGCTTTGAGCTCCAGAGTCTCTTAACAGGAGTCGAACCGGACGGGTGACCCCACCAATGGATTCCTCGTTCAAAGAGCAATCCATTGGTGGGGTGACACGTTCGATTCGAGTCCCATTTAGCGACTCTGGAGCTCAAAACGCGCCTAGAATTTCGGCCGCCTCCACCGGTATTCTGGCCCACTGTACGCCGTGCCCGCCAGAACGGCGGAGAGGAGTGCGAGGAGCGCGGCGGGCGCCCAGTCTAGCGGAAAGTGGCCCACAGATAAAGGACCGGGGAAGCCAAAAAGATGCCACATCCGATAAAGGAGTCCCCCCCCTCCCCGCGGGTGCTTGGCCGTAGGGCGCTGCTAAGTGCCTGGGCCGGACAGGGCCGAACCTTGACGCAACGCGCGCACCGCGATGGTCAACCCGGCGCACAGTGGGCCAGAAGACCGGTGGAGGCGGCCAAAACTCGAAACGCGTTTTGAGCTCCAGAGTCGCTAAATGGGACTCGAATCGAGCGTGTGACCCCACCAATAGATTCCTCCTTCGGAGAGCAATCCATTGGTGGGGTCACACGTTCGGTTCGAGTCCCATTTAGTGACTCTGGAGCTCGAAACGCGTCCTCGAATTTTGGCCGCTCCACCGGTCTTCTGGCCCACTGTGCGGTGGCGCCGGAGTCCGATTCCGAACAACGTTTCGTCGCTCTGTCTCTCTCGCACCGCTGCGAGACGCCCCATGAGTGCGAGAGAGACAGAGCGGCGGCATCACTGGACTGGCGGTGCCGACCCCCGGCACGGCCGGCACGCGACCCCACGTGACCCGCCGCGGTTAGGCGTGACGAGGCCCGCGAGCTGGTACACTGCCGAAAAGGCCCCGGAGGCCAAAAACAAAGACAGCGTCCTGCCGGCTGCGGGGGCATGGGGGCCCCATGATGGGGCATGTGCACGGGCCGCGACCGGGCCGAGACACCGGGGCGAAGGTCGGCGCATTGCGGTAGGGTACCCTAGTACCCTCGCACAGTTTTACGGTAGTCAGTCACAGAAAAATGGATGCAATTTACTACAGTAAAACCATTTTTATTTAAGTATTAAAAACATGTGTTTTTGTTTTAGATTTTCTGCGGTAGCGGTACTTTTTTTTCACGTGTAGCCGCGGACCGCGAGCGGCACGCGGCGCGCGGCCGCGGCGGGGGAACGGTCGTGTATACAGGCGCAGGGCCGGTCTTTGTGGGGCTTGCGGGGTCGACAACGCCCACTTCAGATCGGACATGGCATCGCTCTACTCTGTCGGTTCGGCGGGGCGGGGCGGGGCGGGGCGGGGCGGCGCGGGGCGCCGAGGTTGTATGCGTGCGGAGCGAAAGAAAGGTCAGGCCATAAAGTCGCCTTTGACGGCTCGCACACCACCGCCATCACCAGGTCGTACCGGACTTCCTCGGCGCGAGTTTTAAAGACACGGAACCAGCAACAACAACAACAACCGAAATACCGCCCGCGACAACAACAACAACACCACTTTCGCCGCCTCCCACCGGGCCGCCGGCCCAACCCGGCCCGCGCCCACCACGACGAATCGAACGTGCACCGAATGCCATCCTCGGCCTGACGGGCCCTTCTACCTTAGTTTACCTCTCTACCGTAGTCCCTTCTACACCGTAGGTTCTTCTCTACCAGGCCCCTCTACACCGTAGGTCCTTCGACCGTAGGCCCCCGTCTACCGCACGGCCTTCTACACCATAGGCCCTCCTCCACCGCAGGCCCTTCTACACCGTAGGCCCTTCTACACCGCAGGTCCTTCCACACCGCAGGTCCTTCCACACCGCAGGTCCTTCTACACCGCAGGTCTTTCAACACCGCAGGTCCTTCTCTACCGTAGGCCCTCTTCTACCGTAGGCCCTTCTACACCGTAGGCCCTTCTACACCGTAGGCCTTCCTCTGCCGCAGGCCCTTCGACCGTAGGCCCTTCCAGCGGCCGCGGCGCCCCGCGGCGCCCCGTCTTCCAAATTCTAATTGCCGTCGCTCGAGTCGCTCACGCTGGCGAAAGAGAGCGTCGTTTCGCCCGCACTCATTAAGCGACAAAGTGGCCCACGACAAAGGTGCGCCCCGCCGCGCCCCGCCGCGCCCCGCCGCGCCCCGCCTCACCCCGCCGCGCCGCCGGCTAAGTTGACGTTACGCGAGGCGCGCGCTCAATCTGGAGCAGGCAAACGACGCCGCGGCCGCCAAGCCAAGCCAAGGCTCGCCAAGGCAAGGGCGTGGCGGTGCCGGCGGTGCGGGTGGGTCGCCTCGCCCAGCCCGGCCAGCCGCGCGTCCCAGACGGCGTCCCAGACGCCGGGCCATTGTCGGCAACGCAAACACAAACCGTGGTTGCACAACCCGCGATCCGAACCGCGCGGCAGACTGATTCCGAGAGTCGTTTTCGTCGCTCTGTCCCTCTCGCACCTACACGGGACGCCACTTGAGTGCGAGAGAGACAGAGCGAAACAGTCTGCAGCGCGGCGCAGCGCGGAGCCCCTTTTTCATTCGGATTTGACGGGGCGGCCGATGCCTCCGGGGAGTCGGTCGGTCGTTGCACAGTGGGCCAGAAGACCAGTGGAGACGGCCAAAACTCCAGACGCATTTTGAGCTCCAGAGTCGCTAAATGGGACTCGAACTGAACGTGTGACCCCACCAATGGATTCCTCGTTCGGAGAGCAATCCATTGGTGGGGTCACACGTTCGGTCCGAGTTCCATTCAGCGACTCTGGAGCTCAAAATGCGTCCAGAGTTTTGGCCGCCTCCACCGGTCTTCTGGCCCACTGTGCGTCGGGGAGTCGACGGCGGCCTCGGCGGCGTCCCGGAGGGCCCCGCGGCGTTCGGCCGTTTTCGCTTTTTATTTATCATACCGGAACAGAGCGAGCTCGCGAGAGCGGCGCCCTGTCGCCCTCCATCGGCCGAGTGCCGCAACCGCCTGGGCCTGGCATGGCATAGCCTGGCGGCGCGATTTGGTCCAGCCCTCCCTCGGTCGCCCTGCTAGCCGTCCCAGCCGCTGGGCCGCGGCGCCGCGCGTCCAGTCAGCCAGATAGATAGATAGATAGATAGATAGATAGATAGATAGATAGATAGATAGATAGATAGATGAGACAGACAGACAGACAGACAGACAGACAGACAGACAGACAGACAGACAGACAGACAGACAGACCACCTTGCCGGACCCGCCGACTCACTCGGCCCGGAAGCCCCAGCCGAGTCGAGCGATGACAGCGAGGGCAACCTCATAATTCTTGACGAAAAAAAATTAAACACTTTTTTCCAGGGTGCCTCTCCCCTCCCCGTTCTTCTGAGCCGGGTTAACAAGCGGGTCCTCGCGGAGTCTGTAATCACGGAGCTATTACAGCGAATTAAAGTACCAAAGCTTCAAATCTCGCATCGGTGCGACGAGGTGGTCGAAAAAACAGCGACCTGGAAAATAGGTTGGGGTGACTGTGCGGGCAGGAATACGGTTGGGCCAGAAGACCGAGGAGGCCAAAACTCTAGACGCGTTTTGAGCCCTAGAGTCGCTAAATGAGACTCGAACCGAGCGTGTGACCCCACCGCTGGATTCCTCGTCCGGAGAGCAATCCATTGGTGGGGTCACACGTTCGGTTCGGGGCCCATTTGGCGACTCTGGAGCTCATAACGCGTCCGTGGTTTTGGCCGCCTCCACCGGTCTTCTGGCGCACTGTGCAGTACCGGGAAGCCACGCCACCGGGATGTGCCGGAGGAAAGGGGGCCGGCGTCGTCGGCCAGGCTCCACGACCCCGGCGACCCCCGCGAGAACGTCCCCGTCCCCGTGGCTGTGGCTGCCCCCACATGCAAGCGGTTGCGTACCGTTTACACATCAGCGCGCACATCGAGAGGACTCCGAGTTTCGCACACCACTGTGCAGTCGTCATAACCCCGAATGGCCATTCCAACACCCTTCGCGAAACGACACTCGTGGCATAATCCCATGGCGTGCCTGCACTCTTTTAATGCGGACGAGGTACCCATCTGCCATACATCAGCCTGAGGATGTTTTCTAGAGTTTACACTGTGGCAAAAAGCTACGGGAATCTGTAAACACTTTTGGGAATTCTCCGTAGGCCTTTCATATTCTCGTAGGCTCTACAGTTTTCTGTAGGACTGCACAGTATTTCCGTAGTACGCACAGTGATCTCCGTAGGACTTACAGTCTTCGAGGTCCTCGGAAGCTGGCGGATTCAGAGAAAACTGTGCGGCCCTACAGAGAATACTGTAGAGCCTACGGAGAATATTGATAAGAGGGCTACGGAGAATCCTGGCAAAAAAATTAACAGGATTTTCCGTACCTTTTTGCCACAGTGTAGGTGAGTCGTAGTCTAGGACTCTGATTTTCACAGTTTCATCTCAGGACGTTTTCTGGCGTTTTCGATGTGTCCTGTGTTAGTCCTGGTCACAGTGTAGGTCCCTCGGGCTGGGGCACACCTGTGGCGTCGCTCCGGCCCCCCGTGCCCCAGGCGGCCCTACCGACCCTGGTTACGGGTCGCGGGATTGCCCCCTGCTCAGCCCAGAAACCTTCTTCATCAAGCACAGCCGGCGGGCTTCCTCGGTGCAGTCAGTTATGTCACTGGCGATGCACAGCAGCGCCCCGGTCGGCCGGGCCGCGGGTTCGAATCTCGCCACGCCACTTTTCCCTCCCTCGACGGCAGAACAATTAAACGGTAATGGCGGGGATTGTAATCCGCTTTCGCGCGCGAAATCGGGCATCGCCGCCTCGCCGCCTCGGCGTCGCCGCGCCGTGGACCGGACGACGCGGTCGTGTCGCGGAGCCATCGCGCCTTTCATGGCCGCATCTTAATTCTGGCGTCATCGCCGATGTCCCGGGTTCGACTCCCGGCGCCCGCCGGAGAGAAAGCCCCTTTTTCGTCTGTTTGTTTTTGCTGCAGCGCGGCAGCGGTTTGGCTCCACGCTCACAACCAGCTTGACGTCGCCGCGGGCAGAGGAGCGGGCCGGCGCACAGTGGGCCCGAAGACCGGTGGAGCGGCCAAAATTCGAGACGCGTTTTGAGCTCCAGAGTCACTAAATGGGACTCGAACCGAACGTGTGACCCCACCAATGGATTGCTCTCCGAAAGAGGAATCCGTTGGTGGGGTCACACGCTCGATTCGAGTCCCATTTAGCGACTCTGAAGCTCAAAACGCGTTTCGAGTTTTTGCCCCCTCCACCGGTCTTCTGGCCCACTGTGCGGCGCCAACGGGACTCCATTTTTCGGAGGCGTGTCCGCGGGCGTGTCGCACCTCGACGACCGAGTGCGACGGGGACCTCGATCGCCTCGTAACGTTCCTGCGGCCGCCGCGTTCGGCACGTCGCCGCCACAATCGCCACCGGCACCATTACCATAACCGCGCAGAAATCGCGTCTCCGCCAACAACAACAACAACAACAACAACAACAAAAACAACCGCCGGCGGTCCGCGAGCACGTCCACAGCCCCGTTTCTTTCCACGGCGGCAGTGCGGCGAGGCCGACGACACGGAGTGGCGAGCATTTACAAGAAAATCAAGAGCCAATCAGAGAGCGGGCGGCGCACAGTGGGCCGGAGGTGGTGAAAACTCGAGACGCCTTTTGAGCTCCAGAGTCGCTAAACAGTGCTCGAACCGAACGTGTGACCCCACCAATGGATTCCTTGTTCTGGGAGCAATTCATTGGTGGGGTCACACGCTCTGTCCCAGACCTTTTTGGCGACTCTGGAGCTCAAAACGTGTCTAGAGTTTTGGCCACCTCCACCGGTCTTCTGGCCCACTGCGCGCGCTGCCCTGGGGCTTTCTAGGGGTGACTCACCTGAAGTTTGGAGAAGTCGACTTTGATGAGCCGCCTGGTGGAGGCGGTGGGGGTCTTGGCGGCGCCGGGCGAGCTGGGCGCGTCCACGGGGACCACTGCAACAGAGGGAAGGCACGCCGTCAGACAAGGAGTCGGAAGAACCTCACTTTAAGTCATACTCTAAGACGTTTGCTAGTTTACAACGAAGAAGATGGTGCCAGCACTTTTCCTTCGTATATTACAACAGCAGTGAAAATAATAAAAAGTAGGGTCGTATTCCTAAGCAATACTGCTTCGCCTAGTTTGCTGTGATATGATTCAAATGCCACACTGGAGCTTAAAGTGTGGTGGTGGCAGCCCACAGCATTACTGGGGTCGGCCTCGGTGAGCAGCGGGTCGAAGGACGCCGACGTCCTGGGGGACGACGAGGACGACGAGGGCGACGAGGACGGCGGGGACGGCAGGGACGACGCGGACGGTGGGGACGGCGGGGACGGCGGGGACGGCGGGGACGACGGGGACGGCGGGGGCGGTGGGGACGGCGGGGGCGGTGGGGACGACGGGGACGGCGGGGACGGCGGGGACGACGGGGACGGCGGGGACGACGGGGACGGCGGGGACGGCGGGGACGGCGGGGACGGCGGGGACGGCGGGGACGACATGCTGGGTGGCAGATGGGACGCGACTGCGGGGCCGAGACGGAGACGGGGGCATTTCGGGGTCGATGCAAAAGCACGGGCTGCGCACAAGTGTCGGCGTCCTCGTCGCACCCGCAGGAGCAGCGGGGCCGCCAAGTGTTGCCGTCCTCGTCGCACCCGCAGGGGCAACTGGGTCAAAACGGCAGCACCTGTGCACACACTGTGCGCACTCTGCGGGCCGGGCCAGGCAGCGCCACACCGCAAAAAATAATTAAAAAAAAATACGATTTCAAGAAATCCTAGGAGTCACGAAGTCAATTTGATTATTGTGTAAGAGTGTGGAGAAAGAAAAGAAGTGGTGTTGTGAAGTTGTGGCTCAGGGGACTACCAATGGCAGTGGTACCAATGTGGTCGATGTGCCATCCGTCGAAATTTAAACTTGACAATAAATAGAAATCAAAATGCTGGTAAATTCAAAAAATTCCAATGCTAATGTATTCCGCAGTGTTCTGACAATGGAACATCTTTGAAGTCCATCATGATTAAAATGTTCTTAGCAGAAAGAAGTCAGTAAATTAATTTTCTCGGGTTGGCAACTATTTTCTCGGCGTCTGCGCCCTTGCGAAAATCGCGAAGCTGAAAGCGCCAGCAGTCGCGCATTAAAACTGCCCCTCCATTGTTGTGGACGTTGAATTGTTTGGCTTGTTTCAAAAGGCTATGGTTCTCTAGTCATGTTTTCTTCAATTCTGTGTAATAGTTCTCCCTTACAACGTATCAACACCACGACGGTTGGTTTGACAAACTTCATAAACTCGGGAGGGATGGTTTCGAAACGCGGGTGAGTCTTGTTCGAGGAACATGAGCACTGCAAGTCGCGAGGTGGAGCGAAGTGGTCCTAGTGCTAACTGAATCACAACAACAACACTGCGCATGTCCAAAAACACTCCAATCAAGAAGTATTATTGGATAGTTCTACCCGAAAAACTGCGTTCGAACCGGCACCAATTCTATTGTTGCATCTTGTCTACCTGCAGTCAAAGAAATTTTTCATTTCGAACGTTGCTTTTTCAGCTTTTGGAGTAAGCTGTACAGACCCAAAAAGAAGCTCCGCTATTGGTCCGCCCCGGCTCGGCTCCCCCCACTCCCTTTTTTTTCCTTTGACGAGTCGAGTTTTGCCATGGAAACGGCGATTTTGACAGCAAATTTCTCAAAATTGGCCACCAAATTTTTGACCAGATTTCAACATCAGAATCAGCGTTCAAAGTTCTACTAGTCTGCAAAATCTCATTAAAATCGTATAGAAAACTTCCGAAATGCATAAAGGGCCACACAAATCAAATCTCGAGCCGGCTGAGTCCTGGGTATACTATAAGGCTACTTCGTGCCTAAAAAAAATTGGCGCGCCGAAATGCTTCTGACATTACTCATTCGAACAAAGAATAACGCGCCACAAAAAAAAGTCAGAAACGGATTGCCACGACGCGCAGGGATGGAGGCTGACTGACGCAAGGCGATGCCTTTAGGCGTGGCAAACGCGTTAAACTCTTCAATGGAGCAGGGCGCCATTTTATTGCATTGCAGGGGGGGTGGGGGGGGGGGGGGGTAGGTGCTGCTCGAGGGGCCCTCGGCGCGCGGAGAGCTCCGGGCGCAGCGCTATGCCAATTGTTGCACGACCACGAGCACCGTGGCCGCGTGGCCGCGTGGCTCGGACACTGCAAAACGCACCGCCAGCACGACGACGCACAGTGTGCCAAATGGGCGGCTAATCTTTATCACGACTTCAAAAAAGTCGATTTTTAGTATTTAAAAAAAAGATTTACACTCTAAATGTTGTACAGTGAAGATTCTCCACATTATGGTGAAAATGTTCCATATTATGGTGGTGCAGCTGACTTCGTAACATACCACGAAGAATTCACTGTACCTTATAGAGATTTAGACGAATTTCGTTGGTATTATGGAGAAAATCTCCACCATATTATGTTGGTGCAGCCTTTCATCGTAAGACATTACTGTGTAGGTTGTTAAAATCTTTTTTTGACTATGGACTTGACTATGGAAAACTTTATCTTTCTTCACAAACTCACAAAAGCTCCAATAAACTTTTCAAAAAAATATCTTTGCTTAAAAAGGGGAAAAACCAGATAAACTAGAATTTGAAAATGGTGGTGTACGTCCGCGTCGTGAGGTGCCCTTTCCGTCGCGGGGCATCGCGGGGGCGATTTGCAGTGCAGGAGACAGTGGCGGGGAAAGTCCGCCCCGCCACGTAACCGCGGTATGCATATCTTGCCCGGGATGCTAATGTCGAGCGACCCGCACGACCGAGCGGGCGGCACACTGGTTCCGAGAGTCGCTGTCGTCGCTCCGTCTCTCTCGCACTCACGGGGCGCCCCGTGTAGGTGCGAGAGAGACAGAGCGACTCTCTCTCTCCGAGTCAGTCCGCAGGCGAGCCGGTCAGCGAGCAAACAAGACCTGCTGCAGCGAAAGTGCCGCAGTCAATGCACTGCAGAGTGGCGGCTTCATCGGGCACTTCGCCGACTCCAGAAAACAGCGAGAAAGACCGCGTGAAGAAAAGAGCATGGCGCGATTCGTTTGCGGTGCGGTGGGCGTAAGGCAGGGCAAAAGGTGTCGTTTCACAGTGGGCCAGAAGACCGGTGGAGGCGGCCAGAACTCCAGACGCGTTTTCCGCTCCAGAGTCGCTAAACAGGACTGGAACAGAGCGTGTGAACCCACCAATGGATTCCTCGTTCGGAGAGCAATCCATTGGTGGGGGTCACACGTTCGTTTTGAGTCTTCTTTAGCGGCTCTGGAGCTCAAAACGCATCTAAAGTTTGGGCCGCTTCCCCGTCGGTCGAGCCCCATATAGCGACTCTGGAGCTGTCCGGGATTTTAACCGCCTCCACCGGGTCCTCTGGTCCACTGCCTTCGTGACCGCGCGACGGCGTGACGGAGTGTCACGGTGTGTCCGCACGGCGTCACGGCCCTGTCACGGCACGCGTCGTCACGACGTGACCGACGGCACTCGACTTCCGGCACGCGCCGAAAAGCGCTCCGGGCCCATTCCAACAACAACAACATCCAGATTACGGTCATCTTGTTGTTGTTCCGGGGCACAAACGGCGTGCTCATCTCGGACTCATTACATCTTACTCCGCGGCGGGCCGAGGGCAGTGACTTGCCGGTCCACGCGCCCTTCATTAAGGCTCTCTCCGTCTCTCTCGCACCTATTCGGGACGCCCCAGGAGTGCGAGAGAGACAGAGAGAGACGTCCGGGCAGGAATCACTTGCGGCGCCTTGCGTCACTGCAAAGGCGCCAAAGGCATTCCAGGACTGCAACGGGACCACCCGCCAGCCCACCCCTCTGTTGGTCTGCGTGTGCACCACCTGTCTGTCTGTCTGTCTGTCCGTCTGTCTGTCTGTCTGTCTGTCTGTCCGTCCGTCGCCTGTCCCATCTGGAAGCACGCCCGGCGCGACTCTCGACGCCCTGGCCAATCAGGCCGTGGCCAGCGAGCGCCTCAAGTGGACCGACTGGCGACCGACAATCAGGGAACTCTGTCACACGCCCCGCCCCCGCCACACCCGCCCCGCCCCACCCGGCCCCGCCCCACCCCGCCTTTGCGCGTCGCCGTTCCGGCAGCCGGGTGCCACTAATTGCTTCAACGGGACGCCCCGCCTCGGCCGCCGCACCGCCCACGCCCTGAGGTGTGACACCGAGCCGTCGATGCGACCGACTTCCGAAAACACACACACACACACACACACACACACACACACACACACACACACACACACACACACACACACACACACACGCAAGCAGGCGGCCTTGCAGCCAGCCATGCGGGCATCGTTGGCCTCGGCTCCGCGACCTTGACCTACATCCTCCCGGAATCCCCAGGGAGGGCAGCCCCGCCCCGCGGTTGACGCGGCCAGCTGCTGGCTCCGCCCCGCTCCTCCCGGGCTCCACCGCCGCGGGGCATGTCGCGGGTTCGAGTCCCATCTGCGGCCTTTTCATCTTTCTCGTCACTCTGTCCCCCTCGCACTCATAAGTGACGCGGCATGGGCTCGCCGAGAGAGACAGAGCGACGAAAACGATCTGGCATCACTTCCATACGTGCGAGAAATGAATCTACTTACACCTCAGAAGGTGCTTTGATCCGTCCTTGATCGAAATAACATGTTGTGCGTTTTGACAACACCTATTTCTATTATTTACATAGCTTCCCGCAGACCTCTGCACTTGTCACTTGGTGCCCCAGCCCGGGGCACCTAGTGACAGGACATATACCTCACATTACCAGCATAGAGCGACGCTCCAGCTAATTGAAAACTATCCGTTTTGGACTCTTTAAGCTTTTTAAATATCAAACCATTCTGAACGGCGCCATTTTCCCCAAGAAACTGCATTTTACTAAATTGCCAATCAAATTCAATGTTCTACGAAATTGTCGTTAAAAGTAGTCTCATTTATGTTTCGT